CGACCACTAGTGCGAGCAGCACGAACAGGCGACGCAGGACGAGACTCAGGCTCACGACGCTCAGCAAGACCTCCAGTAGGACCAGTGTAGGGAGAAGGAGCAGGTAGGGGGGAGGCGGGCTGTAACTGTGACCGCGACTGGACAGGCTGTGGACACTCTAAGGGAGGAGCAGGACCAGTAGAGGGCGGGAGACCAAGAACCTGCTCAAGGAGCAGAACGAAGTACGGCCTCGGCCGCGCATCGCCTCCAGAACCAGCAGGGACAGCACCAGAACCCCCAGCGGCAGCACCAGCGCCAGCAGCACCTCCAGCTCCAACAGCGCCAACTCCAGCACCCTCAGAAGCACCAGCGCCAGCAGAACCACCAGCGCCAACACCCCCAGCAGCTCCAGCTCCAGCAGCTCCAGCAGCACCAACTCCAGCAGGACCGTCAGCTCCAGTACCGCCAGCAGCTCCAGTAGCACCCCCAGTCCCAGCAGCTCCAGTACCGCCAGTACGAGCACCTCCAGGACCAGCAGCAACAGTAGTACCTCCAGCTCCAGCAGCACGGCTCCAGCGCCGGGCAAACCACTCGCGCAGCTCCTGCGGAGAGAGTAGCTCCCGCCTCGACGAAGCACCGCCAGAGGCCACACGAGCAGACCCAGCACCCCCAGGCTCCGCACCCCCAGGCTCCAAACCCCCAGGCTCAGCACCCCAAGGCTCAGCACCCCCAGGCTCAGCACCCCCAGGCTCAGCACCCCCAGACTCAGCACCCCCAGGCTCAGCACCCCCAGGCTCAGCACCCCTAGACTCAGCACCCCCAGGCTCCGCACCCCCAGGCTCAGCACCCCCAGACCCGGCACCCGCAGGCTCAGCGCCCCTAGCAGCACCAGAGTCAACAGCTACCTCGACAGGCTCGACTGCGTCTACCTGGGACACACCTGACGGGGCAGGACCCTGAGGGGGGAGAGGGTCTACCGGGGGAGGACCTGGCGCAAGGAAGAGCGGCGGCGGGGGGAGGGGCGCAGTGCGGTAGGGGAAGAGGCGGTAGTAAGGCACCGACTCGTCAAAGGTGACGTCCTGGGAGGACATAACACGGCGCGAGGTGGGGTGGTAAAACTGCCAACCAGGCGCGTCAGGGGGGAAGCCAAGGAAGACGCAGGGAATAGCACGGGGGGACAGCTTGTCCGCAGACAAGTCGCGGACAAACGCCCGAGATCTCCAGACCCGAAACGCAGACGCATCGCCAACCTTCCCCGTCCACCGCAAGGTGGGGGAGGTCTCTGGCAAGGAGACCCGGGGCTGAAGGTTGAGCTGATGCGCTGCGTACTGAACCGCAAACGGCCACAGAAAATGGGGAGCAGCCGCATGGATCATGGACGTACGAGCGATGTCCATGACCATGCCAATGCGGCGCTCAGCAATCCCATTTTGTTGTGGAGAGGCCGGAAGCGTGAAGGTCTGGCGGATGCCCTGTGCACGACAGAAGGCTCCCAGACGGGCAGAGGAAAACTCCCCGCCTCTGTCAGAGTGCAGACGCAGAACAGGAAAGTCCGAGCCGAAACTCTCTCTGAGCTGGAGACGAGCTGCGCGGATCCAGTCGATCAACACCTCAGCGACGTCACCCTTGCTGCGCAAGGGGAACACCGTGGTGAAACGCGAGTAGTCGTCAACCACCAACAGGAAGTAACGCTCGTGACCCTGGCCACGGACGCGGGCGGGGCCCCACACGTCCATGTGAAGAGTCTGCAGCGGAGCCTCTGTCGGAGGAAACTCGGAGGAGTGAGGGGCGGTGCGCTGTCGCCCCTCGACGCAGGGGACGCAGGTAGGGGCAGGCCCCGGAGGTAGGGGAGGTAGGGACCGGGGGAGACCAGAGACAAGGACACGGGAGGCCATGCCTCGGAGACGAGGCAGGGAGGGGTGACCAAGGCGGTGGTGCCAGAGGAGAGTCTGGTGGGACAGGAGACGACACGAGCAGGGCGCAGACTCAGGACCAGACCTGGACGCTGCAGCAAACACCTGACTCGACGCAGCTACCTGACCAGACTCAGCAACCGGAGGAGATTCAGTAGTCAGTGTGTACAGGCTCGACCCCGGCCGACGGGTAAACGTGGCCAAGTGTCGGCCCGTCCGAGCACACGTACAGTGGGTCACCCGCTGACTCGCAGGAGTGAACTGGTCAACCCCCATATCCTGTAGATCAGCTCCACTCACCAAGTTCGTAGAGAACGAGGGGAGGTAGAGACCTGACAGGGTGCCAGAGGGGGCTGCCGGGCACGGTAAGACAGTGGAGAAGCTAGCAAGGACAGGACCCCCAGAGGGGTCCGCCAGGGAGACCGCAACCGGCCGACTAAGCGGCGTAAGCGTGGTGCGGTCTCGAAAGAAGGAGCGGGAAGCACCCGAGTCAAGGGTGAAGGTGTGTAAGGCCTGATCCGACGTGGTACCTGAGAGAGCAGACTCACCAGCACCTGGGCCAGCAGACGCACTAGCACCTAGAGCAGCAGCCTCACCAGCACCTAGAGCAGCAGCCTCAATGCCCGGGTCAGGCGGAACACACAGGTAACAGTCACCCTCATCACGATTAGACACAGCATACATGGCAGCAAGAATAGCATCATAATCAAGATCAAAGATAGCAACCCCCGCCCTAGACAGCTCTCCCCAGCGAGGGATCTCAGTGGCGTCAGGGAACTGGTGACGCCACGCGTCCGTCAGGCGGCCGAAGCAGCGCTGGGTGGAGTGCGGGCCCCCGCACTGCTCACCAGCGCGGTCGCCGGTACGGAGGACGTAGGTGCAGGGACCAGTACCCCCACCTCGCTGACGCCCAGCGTACCACTCAGGAAGCTGCTGGGGGGACGGGGTCTCACGACTGCGCTGCTGCTGCTGGCGCGGACCACCACCGGAGCCACTCCTCTGCGCAGAGCCGCGACCAGCTCCACCGCTGCCTCCGCCGCCTCCGCCACCTCCGCCGCCTCCGCCACCTCCGCCGCCTCCGCTCCCTCCGCCACCGCCGCCGCCTCCTCCGCCTCCACTGCTGCCACCGACACCTCCACCCCCGCCACCACTCCCACCACCACCCCCACCCCCTCCACTGCCTCCACCACCACCTCCACCGCCCCCGCCAGCCCCTCCAGCGCCCTTGCCCCCCTTGCCCTTGCCGGTGCGGCATCTCCCGCTCGGGGCAGACGCAGCGCCGACCGACTCGAAACCAACGAGGTCGGCCGCAGCAGCAGAAGCAACAGAGGGCAAGAGGGGGGAGGGGGAACACCCCTCAAAGACGGGGGTGCGAGGGTCACCACGAGAGGCTCCTACAGCGACTATGCTCTTCTCTGCTGCTAGGAGGCGCTCCTCGAGGAGGTCAACGGTGAGTGTGGTGGGGCAAACTGAGAAGAAGTGGTCCCTGACTAAGCGAAGGGAGTCAGGGAGCCGGGTGACTATGTAGTAGAGGGTGATGTACATGGGGGGGGGGTTCTTGGCACAGAACTCAGCAGGAAGCGCAGCGCGGTAGCGAGTGTCACTAGTGCGAAGGTGCGTAATGAGGTCAGCGACTGTGGGAAAGGCAGCAAGGTCAGGGAACAGGTACGGCAGCATGAGGCGGCTAAGCGCAGCAGTGGCAGGGGAGGAGTAGCGTGCAACTACAGCGTCGTACAAGGTCTTCGCACTCTTGTACTGGCTAAAGTGCGCACGCTCAGTGGTCGGTAAGTGGCGACGCACAGCAAGACGGGCAGCAGCATCGCGTGTGGCCCACTGTGAGCGAACAGTGCTGTCAGCAGTAGCAGGCGGGGCAGGAGAGGCACCAGAGGTGAGATCGAACAGGGAGAGTCCGTCTGCCCTATCGCACTGTAGGAACAGCTGGAGGTCATCGACCCAGACCTCAAAGTCAACAGCACGACCCTCAGCATCAAAGGTAAGGACACTGGGGGTAGCCATGACTGCAGTGGCCTAGCAGGGAGTGATCTCACCAGTCCGAGTAAGTAGGGCCGGGGCGCGCCGGTAGGAACAGTAGCGGCTCGACGGCAGGGCGGCTCGGCGGCTCGGCTGCTGGGCGGCTCGGCGGCTCGGCTGCTGGGCGGCTCGGCGGCTCGGCGGCTCGGCTGCTGGGTGGCTCGGCGGCTCGGCTGTTGGGCGGCTCGGCTGCTGGGCGGCTCGGCGGCTCGGTCGCTGGGCGGCTCGGCGGCTCGGCGGCTCGGCTGCTGGGCGGCTCGGCGGCTCAGCTGTTGGGCGGCTCGGCTGCTGGGTGGTTCGGCTGCTCAGCTGCGGGGCGGCTCAGCGGTGAAGGGGCCGGTAGAGGCGGCGACGGGGCCGGTAGAGGCGGCGATGGGGCCGCTAGGGGCGGCGACGGGGCCGCTAAGGGCGGCGAGGTGGCCGCGAAGGGCGGCGACGGGGCCTCCAGGGGCGGCGACGGGGCCGCTAGGGGCGGCGACGGGGCCGCAGAGGGGCCGCAAGGGGCCTAGAGGGGCGGCGACGAGGCCGCGAAGGGGCCGTAAGGGGCCTAGAGGGGGCGGCGACGGGGCCGCAAGTGGCAGCGACGGGGCCGCGAAGGGGCCGCGAGGGGCCTAGAGGGGCGGCGACGGGGCCTAGAGCGGCGGCGACGGGGCCGTGAAGGGGCCGCGAGGGGCCTAGAGCGGCGGCGACGAAGCCGTGAAGGGGCCGCGAGGGGCCTAGAGGGGCGGCGACGGGGTCGCTAAGGACGGCGACGGGGCCGCTAAGGGTGGCGCGAGGGGCCTCTAGGAGGGCGCGACGGGAGGGGCAGCCTACGGGGCACGCCTCGGGCAGGAAAAAAAAGATCGAGTTAGGTGGTGGGCCCTGAGAATCGTTCCCACGAGGGAACCTGCTCTATACCATGTGAAGAATGAGGAATGAATGAACTAGCAAGCAGGTGGGTACAAGTAGGAAACCTAGAAATGTTGTACCCTATAGTGTCTACCCCACTACAGCCTAGATAGACCATAGCATATAAGTTTGACAGTTTTTGCCGCCCTCTCTCAGGCCCAAAGTCTTCATACGCAACGACAATTTATCCTAACCTCTCTCGCTCTTTGCAGAACCTTCTCCCCTTCCCGTCACCATCGAGCTCACGTTCTCCCCTTCCCCCGCCATCGTGCTCACGTTCTCCCCTTCCCCCGCCATCGCGCTCACGTTCTCCCCTTCCCCCGCCATCGCGCTCACGTTCTCCCCTTCCCCCGCCATCGCGCTCACGTTCTCCCCTTCCCCCGCCATCGAGCTCACGTTCTCCCCTTCCCCCACCATCGCGTTCATCTTCTCCCATCTTCGCACCACCTTCGCGCTCATGGTCTCCCCTTCTATCACCTTCGCGTTCAGATACTCCCCTACCTTCTCCCAAGCACCACACGTTCTCCCCTCCCCTCGCCATCGCGCTCAAGTTCTCCCGTCTTCGCATCGCCTTCGCAAGCAGATTCTCCCCTCCCATCTCCCTCGTTCTCGTCTCTCATCGCCTTCGCGCTCGCACCTCCCGTCCCTTACCGTCGCCCTCATGCCCTCCCCTCCCCAATGCCCCTCCCATCACCCAACCAGTAACCTTTGCCCCCTTATTCTCTCCCCTCGCGTCCGTGTTTCCGTCGGCCTCTCACTCTCCTCTTCCGACTCCTTGACTCACTTTGTTTATCACCTTCTCCTGTTTGTTTTTCTCTGCATAATTCACACCCCTAAACCCATTGTTACAGCTCTCGCTTTTTGCTGAAGGCTCAGGCGCTGCCGATGCAAGGGTTTGTCTCTGGATGCGGAATTCCTTCGACGTAGAACTGGGAATTTGAATGTGGAACAAATGTGAATGTGGCACGAATGTGAATGTGCCACGAATGTGATATTGGCACCCCTTACGACAGATTTGCCCAACCCTGCGACCAGATTCCTCGATCAAAATCGGAAAGATGGTTAGTATCAGGAAAAAAAGAAAAACTGCAACACATTACACCCTACAAACAAAACCTGTGAATCAGTATATCAAGTGGACCCAACTAGAAGGGGGGGGTCACTATTTTGCATGCGGGCTTTAAGCTACCAACATGGCTAACTTTAGTAAAATGACCCGTCTGATGTCAAGACCGGGTCCTGGCTCCTTGTCTGATTGTCAGACGAAAGTTGTAACATTGTCTAGCTTTTCAGACGAATCCTACATACTTGTCTGAGATTTCTGAGAAGATATAAAGCTAGCAAGCAATTATTATCGAATTATAAATAGAGAAGTCAAGTACCAGCTTTAATGCTCCAGCCAGTAGAATAGGGAGTTGTGAAGACTGACGTTTCCGGTTCGCATCTCGTCTCCTGCTTACGCCAGGGAGGTGCAGACATCTCCAAGAGTTCTGCCTTCAAACGAAAAAGAGTCGATATCTGCAGTCTCAGATGAACTGTATAAGGCTGTCTGAGAAATCAGATGAATAGAAAAAGCTTCTCTTAAAAATCAGACGAAATCAAACAGCATGTCTACGACATCAGATGAACCAGTAAAAATGTGTTCAGAATCCAGAAATCCAGACCAAAAATGTCTGATAAAGTAAGCCCTGGCTACCAAACTGCTTCCACGCATCCCCATTATGTCAACCATCTTATACGGTGACTGACTACGGAGCACTCACAGTCACAGGCCATTTCCTTCCTGAAAAACTGGTTTGCCTCCCATTTCAGGAACAGCAAGCAGCTTGTCGCTGTGTACTGAGAACATCTGCGTCTCGAAGAAAAGCTGGGCGAGAGATACCAGAACATAGGGAAGTACATGTGAGTGCATCAAGAAAGAGATTTTTGTCGGAGAGAGAGAGTGAGAGAAGGAAAAATTGTTTAAAGGAAACAGTTGAAAGTATTAAAACTCAAAACCAGGACCGTAGCATGCATGTAGAAAGGACTCTTGTGCGGCAACCAGGGCATTTCATATGAGCTGTGTGGTAGCAATAGGGACCTTCATCAGCGCCTAAGACCACACCTTGAAAAAAGGCTGACTTCTTGGTGAGAAGGAGTTGACAAATGCATCTTTCAGCAGAACAGGCACCTGTTGAGCAGAGGAGGGTTGGAAAGTTGTATAGGTACAGAGGGTTTCCAGGGTTAAAGAGGGTATACAGGGGTAGTCAGGGGGTTGAGAATTGGCTGGGAGTGCAGGGGAAGCGAGGCACGACATGTAGGCAGAGAAGCAGTTGCGATGGGAGCGGGGAAAGCGACAGCAGGCTCCTTTGCAGCAAGAAGCGCCAAAGGCACTGGAGCACTCCCAAGTCAGGAGGAGGACACTGCATGGTTGGTGGGTAGGTGCGTGGTTGGTTGGTTGATTAGTTGGTTGGTTGGTTGGCCGGGTGGATGAACGGGTGTCTTTTGATTGACTGTCAATCGACACAACAGGGTTATATGTCGTGTCACATGATTGGTTACTCACTCTCTCCCCCGTGGTTCCGATGGCCGTGACTGTGTACGAGCGGATGGACGCACAGAAGGAGTGGAAGTACGCCAGCAGACTTGATTGAAAGTGCTCTGCTGCCCGCGCCTGGGGCCGTGGGAGAATCACAAGGGATCGAGGGGTTTTGGGAGGTGGAATTGGGTAAGAGGATGGGGAGTGAGGTTGCAGCGTAAGGGTGGGCGTGTGGAGAGCAGAAAAATGCGTTGTTGCACGTGTTGTAGTGGTGTGTAATAGTTCTGGTGTGGTGCCTGCTGGTTCCAGAGTAGTGCCTGCTGGTTCCAGAGTGGTGCCTAACGGTGTCAGAATGGTGCCTATGGGTGTCAGAGTGGTGCCTACCTGCTCTGGAGTGGTGCGGAAGACGAGTCGGGTGGCAGCATCGGCATCCCCTGCCATGACAGCGTGGTGGGGCAGTAGGCAGGCTGCCAGGTCCTGCTGCTCTGGCAGGAGCGGCAGGTCACAGGGGAGACACACCTGGGGGCAAGGAGAATAGCAGAGAGGGGGAGGGGAAAGAATGCGTGTGATGCAGTGGGATGGACAGAGGTTTGTGGAGATGGTGTGAGGAGGGAGGAGGGCTTGGGAGGGTAAGCACAGGCACGCGAGGAGGGTGCAGGCTGTAAGACATACCATGGGAGTGCTCACCTTGTTCTTAGCGAGGTTGACTATAACAAGGGAGGAGGCCCTCTCTCTCACGCACACCATGGGGGCCTGCAGGCCCACCTGGTAAAGGCCAGGGGTGTGTGATTCATGGGTCGTGGTGTGTGGTGGGGGGGGGAGTGGGGACGGGGCGTGGGGTAGAGTAGAGCAAGTGGGAATAGGTGAAAGTGAGGTTTGTATGTTTTGGCGAGAGTAGTTTGTTGGTACAAGAGAATGCGAGGATGCACAAATGCAGCGGGACACGGGCTGTTTGAAGTATGTGGAGAGAGTTTGAGAACGTGTGGAGAGTACCACGAAGGGGACCGGGGCGTCGAGGAATGGCAGCAGCTGGGAAGGAAGGACCTGCAGTGCGGCGAGGTGAGGCGAGGAGAGGCGAGGAGAGGGGAGGGGAGGGGAGGAGAGGGGAGGGGAAGAGAGGAGAGGGGAAGAGAGGAGAGGGGAGGAGAGGAGAGGAGAGGAGAGGAGAGGAGAGGAGAGGAGAGGAGAGGAGAGGGGAGGAGAGGAGAGGGGAGGAGAGGAGAGGGGAGGAGAGAAGAGGAGAGGAGAGGAGAGGAGAGGAGAGGAGAGGGGAGGAGAGGAGAGGAGAGGAGTGGAGAAGAGAGGAGAGGAGAGGAGAGGAGAGGAGAGGAGAGGAGAGGAGAGGAGACGAGAGTAGAGGATAGGAGAGAAGAGTGGTGAGTGGAAGAAGTGAAGGCACACAGCAAGTGCCGTGCCAGCATGCAGAACGAGGTTGATGTAGCTGTTTCTGTTCCCTCTTGCTTCTGGAATTCCAGGCGAATGGAGTGAAGGAGTGCAGGATACTTAGAAAGTGATGTGACTTCTTGAGCAGACGCGCACGAGTGAGGAAAAAGTGCAGGGACAGATAGTAGCATACGTGCTGGATTATGGACAGCTGGATTATGGCTGCTGGTTAGTAGCACACGTGCAGCGAATGAGTGAAAGATAGGGGAGCATGGAGGGACGACAGAGTTGGCAGTGAGGAAAAGGAGGGGGTGACGGAGGAGGGAGGGAGGGAGGAAACAAGGCTGGAGGGAGGAAACAAGGCAAGGTGGGAGGAAACGAGGGAGAGAGGGAGGAAACAAGGCAAGGTGGGAGGAAACGAGGGAGAGAGGGAGGGGAGGAGGAAGGGTGGGTGGAAGCTCACTGGGAGAAGGGCGGACTGCCAGATGAAGGGGCGGATGAGAGGCACGATAGCCAGCACCGCAGAGGAGAGCAGGCTCTGTGGACGCGCATGGGGAGGCAAGGAGGAGGGGTGTGGTGGAGGTGGCAGATGAGGGGGGAGAGAATGGGTAAGTGGGTGGGGAGGGGAGGGAAGGCAGTTATAAGTGGTATTGATAGACCGGTTGTGGAGTGGGCGGGGGATATGCTGGTGTGAGAGTGGATTAACTAATGTGGATTTTGATGGGTGAGGATGAACAACCAACGGGTGTGATGCTTATGTAGTGTGACATGCCTTGCCCACTGTGTGTACGCTCTTGGTGGCCTACAGATACAAGGCGAGTTGTCACCTCAATGTTTTTTTTTTTTTTTTTTTGGTTACTTTTATTTCAATTTGAAGTACATGACATGAAAAAAAGGAAAGGGAGAAGGGGCGCAGTAAAGACGAGTGCAAGTAACAGGGGAGGGAGATATGGCAAGGGTGAGGAGAAGCGCGTACCATGTTGGGGCATATGACCACGACCTGCTTCTCTAGCAGCACTGCTGCGAGGAAGAGCAAAACCTGGGGAGACACACACACATGTGCATGCACTCACATGCAAGCATGCATGCAACCGCGGTGGTACACATGCACATGCACATGAACATGCACGTGAACATGAGTGCACACACACACACAAACACACACACACACCCAAGATGTATGTGCATTCAAAATTTAGTGGAGGGGCAGTGGCAAGCGACTTAGCCTCCTAGAAAACGAGAGGTTAGGGGCGGATAGGACAAGGCCGGTACGTTCAGGGTGAACACGGAACTGGAGAATGGGTCAGTGAGTATGAGAGTTTGAGAGGATGATGAGAGACAGAAAGGCCAAATAGAGATCACATTTGTGTTAATGGGGCAGGGAAGCTTGACTGGGGGAGATTAAGTGGCATGCAATGATGCCTGGTGTGGTGAGCGGTAGTGAGATGAGAGGTGGTGGGAGGTGGTGAGAGGTGGTGGGAGGTGGTGAGAGGTGGTGGGAGATGGTGAGGGTTGAGAAGGTTACATTGTCGAGGGAGAGGCAGCGGCAGAGAGAGACGACGGAGAAAGGAGAGAAGCCCAAGGCTTCCTCTGAGTTGGCTTGGTGCTCCGCCTGACAGGTGATAGGTACAGACAGGTAGAGAACGGCAACCCCAAGCACTTTCCAGAGTAATTCACAAGCTTTTACTACAGCTTTTTTGTTGCACCTTCGTCTCCCCACTTAAACTTCCATTGCCCTTTTGAGTCGACTCAAAAGTCACCTCATTGCCCTCGAATCGCTGCCACACACCAACCCACAATCGTGTGCCCTAAGCTAGAAACCTTCTTCCTCTAGCGCCTCCTGGTGCCTACATCTGAGCTCCCCACAGCCTTCATTCCCTGCCCCAGGGAACACACCTATGGCCTGCACCCCAAAACCTCGTACGTCCAACAGTGGAACATCACAATAGAGCATCGTGACTTAGGCCTGGCATGGACCATATACCTTGAAATCCACATTGGTGATGGCAAGGCAAGGCAAACTCGTGAGGGATTATGCATGCAGATCCAAACAGAAAGAGCTGAATCAATGGTTCCCCCCCCCCCTTGCGCTACCCTAATCTCCCTCGCTCACCACAACAGCAGACACGTGTGTGTTGAGGAGAGGGGAGGGCGAGGAGGGATGGGAAGAGGGCGAGCAGCAGGCGGAGGAGGAGGAGGAGGAAGGGGAGAGGGGCCGCAGGGAGCGGGGGAGAGGGAGGATGGGGCGGGAGTAGACAATGGGTTGCTGGTGGGGGAGGGGATGGAAGACAATGGGCTGCGCGGGAGGGGGCAGTGGCATGCGGTGGTACGCGCACACAATGCGTAGCGAGTCGTTGCCGTGTTGCTGGGAGGGGGGGGAAGGAGGGGGACGAGAGGGGTGAGGTTGGAGGGCATGAGAGGAGGAAGGGAGGAGAGTGCAAAGAGGTGGGTGGGACATAAGGGTGGCAATGGGTAGGGATTAAGGTGGGAACAATGTAAGTCTTTCTCACTGCAGTTCAGGAGTTTGTGGAGAGTGGAGGGGGGTGTGTGGAGGAGTGTGGAAGGATGGTTCTGGAAATGTTACCAGTGCAAAGATTGGCGTGCGGGGATACAGCACGGGGTAATAGGAAAAGAAATACCACTTTGAAGAGATGAGGCAATCGAAACAACCAAAGAGAACTCAAGAAAGACATATGTAAATGAAGAGCAAGGAACTTGAGGTAAGCAGCAGAGCAACCACGCCCTGCTGAACCCTGCCCCATCCTCCTCCCACCACCTGCACTGCACAGCTCCCCCCAAACCCCCAGTCTCACGCACTCACCTGAGCCCATTCTTCCACAGCAGCCGCCCCATAGTCCCCGCCTGCTTGTGCATGCCCCCCCATCTCCCACACCATCTGCCTCTCCTCCTGCTCCACACTGTCCTCCCCTGCACTCGCATCCCCCTGCTCCCCCTCCCCCACTTCCCGCGCCATCTCCGCCTCCCCAACCCCTTCCCTCTTGCCTTCGTCCAGCCTGGCCTTACCCCCACTCACTTGGCGCACCTCTACATATCCCGCATGCTCCACGCCCGCACTGCCCTCCTCACACACACACCACCCTCCTGCATGCCCTGCCCCACACTCGCCCCCGACAACCTCCCCCTTCGCCTCTTCTTCATCCATCCCTCCCTCCTCCAGGCCGTCGACTCCCACCGCCACTCCCACTCTCTCACCCCTCACCCGCCACCCTACAGCATCCCCTCCCCCTGTCCGCTCGTCCCCACTGTCCCCCCCACCTGCCCTGCCGTCTCCGCCCGCCCTGCCTGCGCTGCTCCCCCCGTCCGCCCTCCCTGCCCGACACCCGCCAACCTCCCAAGCAGCCAGGGCAGCGCATTCTTCCAGCCACTGGTAGCTGTTTCGACTGCTGCTGCGGCTGCCGGGACGGAATATGGAGGATGGGGGATGGGGAATGGGGGATGGGGTATGGAGGGGGCATGGGGAGGAGAGGAAGAATAAGGCGAAGGGTGAGAGAAGCAATGCAGGAGAGGCGAGGCGAGGAGCAGGTTGGAATGGAAATACACAATGGCCTAAGAGAGAAAAGAACGAGCATGGAATCATGGAAAAATCACACAAGTTCCTCCTTCCTGTTTCTGCTCTTCGTTTGCTGCTCCTCGTTTGCTACTATACTTTAAAAGTGGGGATAGCTTAACTTTCGAGATGAATCAAGACTATTCTTGTTTGTTCTGGGTGTCTGGGCAAGGACAAGTCAACACAGGGGAGGGATTCTGCAGTGCAAATAACAGCGGAGACGAGACTTAGGGCTGCATAATGCTGATACTACGTTGCCTGACGGTACGCGGATATCTCAGAAACCTTGAAACGGGAAAACGGGAAGAGGGAAGAGAACCCGTGGCATTTTGAGTGCAGCTCACGAGCTGGGCTGGGAGAGTCACAACTGGTTTTTTTGACACAACTCTTGCAGGTTTGAAAAAAGGGATCAGGGTTGTCGGAGGAACAATGTCGGAATTCGTGACACCAGTTCCACAATTTCCTCCACACAGTGCTTCAGAATATCAACTCGGCGCACTCGCGTTCTCGCACTCCTAGGTCGACAGGGCGGCATCGCAGCACTCTTGGGGGATCCCGCAGCCTCCCTGGTTGCCCCCGCAGCCTTCCCTTCCCGCAATGCTAATCTCACCAACGACAAAATGCCAGCATCCATGAGCGCACCTAGCACCTGTGCACGCACCTAGCGCCAGTGGTCGTGAGGTTGCGGAACAGTCCCGGCAGCCCCGCGAAGACGCTGCCGCTCGTTGCCTTGCCTCCCTGCCTCGCGCTCTCTCCCCGTGCTCTCCTCGCCGGGGACTCGCACCCCCACTCCTCCCACTCTCGCCACCTCGCCCAATGCTCCGCGCTTCCTTGCCCATGTGCCCGGCCACTCGCGCTGCCGTCCGCGTTACAGCTCAACTCGTTAGCCGCGGGGAGATTTCCGCTGGGCGTGCGCGCCTCGAACCCTCGTCCATCGCCCACGCTCATCCACGCTTTCTTCACCTTGCCCGCAAGCGACGTGCTCCTCCGCATTCGCCGCGACCAATCCAGAGGTCTCAAATTGCTGCTGATACTGCTGCCGCTGCTCCTGCCACTCCCGCGCTCGCTGCTGCTGCACTCCTCCCCCCCATTCCCTTCTCCAGCCCCCCGTCGTCTTCCTTCTAAAGGCCCGATTGCTTCCCCCTCCGCCTCTGTTTCCTTCCGCGCAAGAGCCTCCCCATCTGCCCCTTTTCCCGCATGCGCTTCCCCGCCTGAGCCCCAAACCCCCGCGCCTGACTCCTCCCCTTCCGCCCCATTCCCGGCACTCTCCCCCCCGTCCGGAGCCCAAACCTGCGCGCCTGTCTCCTCTCCGCCCGCCGCTTCCGCTCCGCTTCCGCCTGCGCTCCCCCGTTCTCCGCGTTGCTCCCACAGGTCCAGAATCTCCGCCACCTCGCGCAACAGCCTCTCCTCCTCGTCGTACGCTGACTCTCTGCCCATATTGCCCTCCCCATCCTCCCCCCTCCCCCCCCACTCCTCAACCTCCCCCCCCTCCTCCCCCTCCTCCGTTCCCTCTCCCTCTGCCTCCCCCTCCCCCGCTCCCTCGCCTGCGGCGCGCGCAGGAGGCGCTTCGAGCTCCGAGTCCGCGTCTTGCATCTGCCGTCCGCCCCCCACATCCAACCGAGCACCCGCTTCCTCCCCTCCCCTCCGCCTGCTCCCCGCCTTGCCGCTCACGTCGTCACTCGCTTCAGAGCTGTCCTCGTTAAAGCCCGTCTCGCTATCAGTAGAGCTGTCGGGTTCCGCTACAGCTGGGGCACCAGGGAAGGCGTTGCGCAAACCGCCGGTTCCGCTGCCTGGCAGCCGGACGCTCCGCGCGCGGATCATTCCGGGAGGTCCTGCGCCCCGCTCCCCCTTCCGCCCGGATTCCCCCTTGCCTGCTGCGAACGTGACATTCAATACGCCACTGCCACAGCCTGCTGCCGCTTCAAATTCAGGCCTTCTTTCTCTCCCCTCTACGGCGTTGCTGCTGCTGCTGCTGCTGCTGATGGTACGAGCAAGAGCACGATCAGAGGTTGCTGCTGCGTTCAAGTGCAGCTGCTGCAGATACGCGAGAGGGATGACGGTCGACTGCCACGCTCCCCTCTCTCCACCCTCATCCCCTTCAGACTTTTCAGCCCCTTCGCCTTCTCCCTCCCTCCCCTCATGCTCCCCCCAACCCTCATCCCGCCCTCGCACTCCCACTCCTTCCCCATCGTATTCACTGCAAAAGCTCCCATGCTCTGCCCCTTGCACTGGATAATGTTCATGTGCCGCAACCCCCTGCCTTCTGGCTTCCGGTCTGCAAACCCCCCTCGCCTCTTCCAAGTCTCCCCTCCCCTCAAATTCACGTCCTGCTACTCCCGCTTGTGGTGCCTCTCCTTCCTGCCCTCCCTGCGCCCTGCATGCGCCCACGTCCTCCTCACAGAACCTACTCTTCACCCTCACCAACCCACCTCTGCTCTTGGAACCCCCACCAGCAGCAGCGCCACCAACACCCCCACTGGCAATCGCACCACCGCAGCGGCCACCAACAGCACCACCCGAGGCATTGCCAAGCCTACGAGCAGCAGCAGCCATAGCATCAGTGCGACTGCTTATGGAGGGAAGATGAAGAGAAGCGCCGATGCTGGCAGTCCGAGACATGAAATTGTGCGTGGGCATGGGCATGGGCATGGAGAGGCCTCTGGGGACAGCTATGGCGCCGCTGTGCTGCTTGATTCGGTCCAGACGCTCCTGCACTAGGACACTGGGATGGGGAGAGAGGACGGATGCAGGGCGACAAGAGATGGCGTTGGGTGCAAGGGAGCAGAGGGCAAAGGGCATGGGGCAGGAGGTTGAGATTTGGCGTCATGGGAATGGATGTATGGGGTTGAAGGAAGAGCAATGGTCAGGGGTACTTTTCAAAACAACTGACAGGTGCTGCAGCTGCAGAATACCAATGTGCTGCACCGGCAACAGGCGTTTGGGAGGCGAACGGGATACTCAAGGCAGGGCATCATCAACTCAAAGGGGCACAGCAGCACACATGACTCAGTGTTGGCACACGACAAGGCAGGCGGCAGGCAGGGCAGGGCGCACCTGCGGAGCACTTCAAAGTGCAGCTCAATGCAGGGCACACGGCTCAAGATGCAGTAGCACCGCGGCGCCGTCACCACACACCGCAACCCACCCCCCGCACCGACCCCATATTCCCCAACGCCACCATCGGCCGCCTCCTCTGGCGCCATTTCTCGGCTTCCCTGCGTGTGCGTGGCTGCGTCGGCGTCATCAGCATCTCTCCACACGGCCCCGTCGCCTGCCACTGCAAGCACGCCTGGTGGGCGCTGCACTATCTCCTCCACCACCATGCACACCCCGTACAGTGTTTCGTTGTTGGCCACCTTGAGAAGAAAGACAAATGCAGAGTTGTCAGAGCGCTGGTATGCCTGCAGGGGGGTTGAGGTTAGGCAGGCGAACAGGCAGGCAAGCAAACAGGCAGACGAGCATGCAAAGGCAGGGAAAGAACGGTGTAGAAAAGGTGCGTGAATGCTCTGGGTACAAGCTCATCGAATGACTACCAGTTCATTCCAACATCCTACGGCCGAATGCGGGAGTGGCACAAACGGGATAAGACGGAAGCAGGCGTGTCCTTATGTGGCGTGGCGCTGACAGCATTCCCTATCCCCCTCCTCATGCCACCACATTCCCTCCCCCCATCCAGATGCAATGCTCAGGGCTTACCTGTCCAAAAATGACTCGGTGTAGGTCGCTCATGGAAGGGCTTCGGCGCAGCACAGTGGCCTGGACAGACAGGTTCAAGAACACACACGGTCAAGGTGCTCCATGGTGAGTGTTTCTTTGTGTGGACCCACAGCACTCAAAGCAAGAAGGTTGTGTGTGTTCAAGCCAGCCCCAGGAGTCACTGGACAGACTGTGCTTGTTCTCGGGCATTAACGCACCATGAGCACACTCATATTGGAGCTACTCACTTTGATACCATTGGGAAAGCAGAATCCTGGCAGATCCGATGGAGAGAGAGCGAGCTTTTTGCCAGGGGGGAACTTGAAGAGCAGCTGCAGAGGAGCCATGCATGGAATGAGTCAGCACAAAGGAAACATGGAACTTGATGGGAAAGGTGACGCATCTAAACAGTTAATGTAACTCAGAAAACAGGAATAGCATGGGAAAACCAGGTGGATTTCGCTTAGAGTATCACACTGGGAGCTGAAATCTGACCTGTGGTTCCAATTGGACCTTGGAGCTCTCATCCTGCTCCGTCTCCTCGTCCTCATCACTACCACAGCCCTCCAGTTCCTTACTCTCCTGCCTCGCCACCCTCTGCCCTGCCATGCTCGCAGCTGAAGCAGCCGCCAGAGACACAGCCGCTGCAGCTGCAGCTGACGCAGCAGTGGCAGCAGCAGAAGCGGCGGAGTCCCGGGCCTTGATGACCCAGCTCACGCTGCTGTTCCTGCCGCCTGCAGTGGCGTTGCTACCAGCGTCCCCGCCAGCTCTCCATCCCATCATGCCACTGAAGCTGTCTCTAGGAGTGTTCCCCGCCGCTACACTGTCCCGAAACAGGTTGCTGAACCGACTTGTCAGCCTCGTCGCACTGCTCGCCACCCTGCCAAGGCTGCTCGCGATGCTTCCTCTATAATCACCTTTCTCCTCCATGCCTTTATTCCCACCAGCGAGAATAGTGTCTGCCACGTGTCTCTGACCATGGTTAGATCCACTTCCAATTTCCCCTTGTGAGTTTCCACCCCCAGCTGAGATAAAGCTCATGCAGTTGGTGCTGCTGGGTCCAGGATAACACGCTCCAGGCGCACTTCGCGGTTCACTCATGCTAGGCCTGTTTCCAGCTCCGCAACTGCTGTCACTGCTGTTAGTACCGCTGCTGTTGGAGCAGCCGCCGCTGCTGCACGTGCTGCAGATGCTGCTGCGTGAGCTGTCAATGCTGCCACTCCCAGCAGCGCGAAGCAGAGCACTCGGAAACCTACTACCACTACCACTACCATGATTAGTACCTTCATGATGATCTTCCGTGGAATCTTTCACCTGGATCCTGTTCTTGAAGTCACGCAGCGAGGCCTCCTCCACGGCTGACAAGTCGGTTCCCGGATGCAATCCAACGACGAGAAAATGCTCCATGAATGACTCCTCGCCTCCATTCGATCCCCTCTCCTGAACGAATCAGGACAGTGACTCGTCAGGTTGCAGGCCCTCTCTCTCTCCAAAAAAAAAAAAAAAAAAAAAAAACTTCTATCAAAACTCCTTTTGCGGATCTAAACGGACTGGATGAACGACTGTAATTATTGACTACTGTAGAAAGCGTCGAGAACCTGACGGGAATGGCGGATCTGGTTCTTACACTGAACTTTCGTTGCTGCTGGTACCACTCGCGTTTCTGATTCGTCAGCCGTTCCAGGTCGGATGCAACTAGGGGATGGTCGCTGCCACATCGCTCTGCCACCACTCCCACCAGCCATTCCTTCCAAGACCGCGTCCGCACGGATCCCAGTATGGTCTGGTACGTTTCCGTGTTGCTTCCGGACACTTGTCGGCCGGATTTCTTATCACCGCGATGGTCTCCATATTGGCGATGCATTCTTTATCTCTAACGCGTCTTCCACGCTCAATACGCTATTTGTATGTACTGATTACCACGAGAATATGTAATGAAAATGATCATTATTTGACAACGAATCTGGACAAGAATCAGGTGTGCAGGAGAAGGTACGTCAAGCCTGAAAAACCTTTCAGTGGTATCACACTGAATTGTCACACATGATGGTAAACCTCAGTAGCAGTACAAGAAGCAAGCACCGCGGCTGACGACGTCGCTGCGGCGTCACTGTGATCGCGTCGCATTTCCAGCCCTCGCAAGCAAACTCCGAGACTGGACGAGCAGCAGCTGCAGTGGAGCGCTGCTCCCAAGGCCAACTTGCGGGCGAGCGGCGGCTCATGTCACTAGGCACGGCGGCAGTTCGATTTTGCTTGTGAAGGCGATCAGCTCGAGAGTTTGGTCTCCTCCCAACCAAACTACCAAGTGCGAACAAGCAGCTCAGTGCGGTGCGCTGTGTTTGTCCCGATTGGTGCCCCAAGTCTTCCTGACCCCACACAGAAGTTTGAGGCAGGCAAAGAAAGTGCCGCGACGCGGAGCCTGGGGCGTTTCCCCAAATTTCGACATTGACCTTTTCGTTATTCGACAATACATGTGGACACGTTACTGTAGAAAACCGACTGCTCCACAAGCCAAACCATTCAAAGAGGAATTTGTCTGCCTCTGCGGATCACCCAGTGTACGACAAAATGGCAGAGAGCATCCCAAGGTTGCATGCCCACGCTAAAGCCCTGCCCGCATGAAGAGGTGTCGGCATTTCCCAAGTCCATGCCTGGCTGTCAACCCAAGTTACGAAGCGCCTCAAGTACTTCGGGCCCGATGGTACTCTATTGAACGTCTTTCTTAACGCCTAACACTGTTGCTCTCGCGTCGCTGGAAACTCCCGCGATTCTTTAAGGTGCACCACTCTCAAGCTCCACAGCTATCGATTCGTTTAGAACTAAAGACCACTCTACAGGTCGCGCGGTCGTGGAATGGCGAATATGGAGATGGTGCTGCCGACCTCTCCCAGCCCCTCGTCGCCGTCCAGCAGCGGCAGCGCGGACGAGCTCGCGTCGCTGCTCGAGGCGGAGTTGGAGGATGTGCGCGTCGACGAGGGGGACGAGGAAGCGGACGACGAGGAGCAGGGAGAGGGGGAAGCGGAGGAGGCGGAAGCGGAGGCGGGGGAGGCGGAGGATGGGGAAGCAACAGCCGATGCAATAGGCGATACAGTAGCGGATTATGACGAAACTGATGCCGCCGACACAATCGAGGACGAGGCGATGCGGGAAGTGCCGGCTGCCGGCGGCGATGACTCACCAGGGGGTGCGACGACGGGACCGTTCGAACCGCGGAAAGGGCTCGACGAGGATGGCGGCGGGAAGCGGCGGCGGATGTGCGGCGGCGGCGCGAGCGAGGGAGAGGCGAGTGCAGTATTGGGCGCTGGGGGGAAGGATGGCCGCGAAACTGACCGTGAAAGAGGCGCAAGTGCCGCCAGCGATGGCCGGGGGAGTGGCGGAAAGGGGGGAAAGGAGCGCAAGAGCAGTGGATGCCCACCACATCCGGGGTTTATGTGGGGCGTGTGCATTCGGTGCGGTATTCTCAAGGAGCGCGCGGAGGCGGACGAGGAGGCGGGGGAGGAAAGGGGCGCGGGAATCGCGCGCGGTGGTGGAAGTGGTGGCGTGGCGGTGCGGGGTGGGCCTGGTGATGGGGTCAGGGAGAAGCCGCCTAAGGCTGCTGCTGACGTGGCAGGCGGTGTAGCCCTTAAATATATTCACCACGTGAGTGTGAATGCACTTCCATCCCACATACTCGAAGTTCTGATTTACTCGTCCGCTCAGCACCAGTCGCTATGCTCCGTCCGTCCCCCTGCCTGCCTTCCCGTGCCCTTCGAATCCAATCTGCCGCATCCCCTAAAACAACCCCTGTTACCTCCCCCCAACCTTCCCTTCCGGCACCCTGTCCAGTCCCTTCCCAACCCCACTGAAAGCAACTCCAAAGGCTCGCAAGGACCCAAACTACCCTCCCACTTTCCTCTCCTCCGCCTTCCCCTTTTTTTCCCCACCCCCCCGGGCACTGCTCGCAGGCGCTGGAGGTGTCAGCGGAGGAGGCGGCGCGCATGGTGGGGGAGGAGCGGGCGCGCATGGAGCGGCGGCGGCGGCTGTACCTGGTGCTGGACCTGGACCACACGCTGCTCAACTCCGCTCGCGACATTGACGTCCCGCCCGCCCATGAGGCCTACCTCGCTGCCGCCTACACCATCGGCGGCGTGCCGCCTGCTCTGCCGCCTGCTTTGCCACCGGCTGCCCCACCTGCTGGGCTACCTGCTGGGCCTCACCCGCCCCCTGCTGTGTCACCGCCTGCTTCCCTTGCTACTCCTGCTGCTCCTGCTGCCGCGGCCTCTCCTCCTGCTCCTCCTGCCGCTGCTGCCGGTGCTGATGCCGGTGCCAGCGGTGGTGCTGTGTGTGCGCGTGCAGCAGAGGCCACTGGGTCAGAAGCGCCCGCTCCTAGTGCTGCCACGGGGGGACAACCAGCAGGAGCGCCGGTAGCATCAGGCGGGGAGGCGGGTGCTGCAGAGCCGGCAGCGGAGCAAAGGGAGCGGGGCACAAGCACAGGCGCAGGCACAGGTGACAACCCAGGGACTGCCCCCACTGCTGCTGCCACTACCGCTAGCCCCGCCTCTACCCCCGCCGCCCCTCCCCCCATCACCCTCTTCCGCCTGCCCCACATCCGCATGTGGACGAAACTCCGGCCCGGAATCGCATCCTTCCTGCAGCGCGCGCACGACCTGTTTGACCTGGTGGTGTACACCAACGGCGAGCGCGCGTACGCACACGCCATGGCGGCGCTGCTGGACCCCACAGGGCGGCTGTTTGGCGGGAGGGTGATCTCGCACGGGGACAGCACGGTGCGCGGACTCAAGGACCTGGACGTGGTGCTGGGGGCCGATAGCATGGTGCTCATTCTTGATGACTCTGAAGTGGTGCGTGCGCTGGGATGTGGGGGGAAGGGGCAGGGGGTTGTTGCGGTGGATATGAGGGGGAAGATTTGGGAGGGGGTTTGAGTGGGAAACGGGGGGTTTGCATGGGGGGGAGAAATGGGGAAACTTCGGTGGTTTACGCTCCTCTCCTTTTATGTCCCTGCAACTTCAGTGCCGCTTTCTCCTGCTCTATCTAATCACCCCACTCCCCTCCTGCTCCGTGTGTTCCTCCCCTTTGTTCCCACACCGTAATCTGTACCCATTCCGCCCCTACACTCTCCAAACCCTCTTCTACGGTCTCCTCCCCTTTTTTTTCCCCTTCCCCTTCCCCGTCCCCTTCTCTGTCCCCTTCCCCCTTCCCCACTCCCCATCCCCTTCTCCCCCCACCCCCTCTCTACCAGGTGTGGCCGAAGCATCGGCACAACCTACTCCTAGTGGAGCGGTACCACTTCTTCGCCAGCAGTCGCCAGCACTTCCTGCTGCCGGGGCCGTCGCTGCTCGAGTCCCATGTGGACGAGGCCGATGAGGGCGGGCTGCTCGATGCCCTCTGGACGCCACTCTCCCGCACGCACCAATGGTTCTTCCAGCAGGTGGGGTGGAGTGCTCATGGGATGGGGAGGAAGGCGGGGAGGGGGAGGGGGAGTGCGGATATGGAGGTGGGTTGGGTTGGGTGCAGGTGGGAGTGAGGCGGTTGTGTGTGTGTGTGTGTGAGAACAAGATGCATTGCACATCCAGTCAATGCGACAATGTGTGCACGCTCTTTCCCCCAGTTCCCTATCCCCCCCCCCCCCCCCCCCCCCCTCCCTTCCCCATTCCGTCTCTTTTTCTTCTTTTTCCTTTCCCTCCTCTCAAGCTCGCCTCTCCCCTCACCACTCTGCCCAATTTCCGTTGTCATTCCACCCTCCTTTCCCGTTCCCCTCACCCCTCTCCGCCCCCCGTGTCCCTTCTTACCCCTGCCTTCTCTCTTGCAGGTGGACCAAGGGCGGCAATCAGCAGACGTGAGACAGGTATGTGTATGCGCACCTCTCCATCCCACCGCACCCCTCCATCCCACCGCACCTCTCCATCCCACCGCACCTCTCCATCCCACCGCACCTCATCCTTTCACTGTGGTAACCTCTCACCTCCCACCTCCACACTTTATCACGCACATCTCGGCTCGCCGCTTCCCTTTCCTTGCCACCCGGCACTGATGCCTTCGCCTCTCTGCCTCCACTCACCACCATCCCCTATTTCCCCTCCTTGCTCACTCCCCCACATACACCCTTCAACCCACCAGCCCACCAGCACAGACCACTTCTTCCCCCAGCCCCCTTACATCTTAGACACCATTCCCAAAACCTCTCGACACCCACCCAACATCCACACTCCTTCAACCCATCCCCAACACCCCTCCCTTCCCCACCCCCCTGCCCCTACCCTCCCCCCACCCCATGGTCAGATCCTAGCGCAGGAGCGTGCCACCATCCTAGCAGGCTGTCACCTGGTCTTCAGCCGGGTCTTCCCCACCGACGCTTCCCGCCCGCAAACCCACCCGCTCTGGCGCATGGCCGAATCCATGGGCGCCACGTGTCACACCCAGATTGGCCCGCAGATCACGCACGTGGTCGCGCTGGACTGCGGCACGGATAAGGCCATCTGGGCCGTGTCACAGAAGCGCCACCTGGTGCATCCTGGTTGGCTGGAGGCCTCGCTGCTGGTGTGGAAGCGGGCAGATGAAAAAAAGTTTCCAGTGGACTGGGGGAAGGGGCGGGCAGGGTGGTGCCCGAGCATTCAAGTGGTGGCAACGGTGCCTATGCCGGCCAACGGTGCTGCTGTTGAGGGTGTAGGGGTGGCGGCGGCTGAAAAGGATGAGGAGACAAATAGGAGCTCAGCAGTACCCGAGGGCTCAGGAGGTGCAGCAGCAGGAGAGGGGGGGTCTGGGAATGAGAGTGGGAGTGGTATGGTGGGGAAAGAGTCGGAGGAAGTGGTTGGGAGTGCAGAGGCAGTGGATGGGAGTGGTGCAGATGCGACAGACAAACAAGTGTAGTAGGCATTGTCTTAGGGAACAACCACGCTGGCACCCCCCATTTCACTTTGCATGGAAGTTAGTAGGCTGGATCAGGGCTGAATGTCTTCTTCTACCAGTAACATGGGGACTTCCTCTGCCTTCACGTGCAAGGGTCTAGTAGAAGAGGAGTACCGGTACAACGTTCAGCCTGTGCGGCTTGTTGCTGGCGAATCTGCGGCGATGACGAGATGAGAAAATATGTTAAGGGATGTAGGTGATCCATGGAAAGCTGTGGGGTGGAGATTGTTTGCACCGCTAAGCAGCAGCCCTGGCCTGGAGTTGTTAGCTCCAGCTTTGAGTTTCCAAGCCAAGCATCTCCGGGAGCTAGTGCAGCTGTGTTGGTAGCTTCCAGAGCTCTCTCCTCTCCCTCTCTCACCCGCACATAGTTTCAAAGCACGGGTTCCCATTAAAGTTGGTCGGTTGTAGGGCCAGCCAGGTTCTTGGGAGTGAATGGAACATTGTTGTAGGGCTTTGCTTTCGGCTGTTACCGGTAGACACAATTTCACACCACAAGAAACGATACACGACTGATATCACACAAAAAGATGGCTCTGTATTGGCCTAAGCTGCTGCTGGGACTGTACCAAGCTACCGGTATCACTGCAAGAGCATCAATGTGAGCTACCTGATGCTTGTTACCACACAAAACATGTGCACCCATGCACACAAAGCAGAGTGACACACTCTCTCACTCAAACACACTCACTTGAGCACTCACACACACACACACACGCACATGCACACACACTCACACAACACACACACACGGAATCATGTAGTTGCGACAGTGCCAGCCCCTGCCACACCGTCTGCTCTCATCGCATGATGTCTGGGTTGAGTGGGTCCACCCCATGCCTCCCCACTGCTCTCGGGGACTCTGACAGCGCATGGCTGGAGGGCGGCACCTGGGGAAGGGATACCTGCTGCCGCTGCTGCTGCTGCTGCTGCTGCTGCTGCTGCCTTAGCTGCAGACCGTAAGGCATGTACCTGTCAAACTGCAGGTACAGCTGCTCTTGCTGCGCCTTCTCTGTGTGCTGCCTGCCGTCCTGCACAGGCGAGTCCTGCAGCATCACATGCACAGGTAACACCTGTGGCGCATGCTGCATGCCGCTGCCTGTGTGACCCTGCAGCGGCTGTAACGGCTGTAGCTGCCCCCATTGAGGCGTGTGGGAGCGTGCTGGTGGTGTGCGAGGAGGGGGGCGGTCCCACGGCGAGGAGAATAACAACTCTCTTTCCTGTGGGCTAAAGGACGACGACCGCCGGTGCCTCTGCTGCTGTGGCAGTTGCTGTTGCTGCTGTTGTTGCTGTTGCTGCTTGTACCGCTCTTCGCAAGCCCCATCGCCTTCTCTGCCGCTGCCCCATCCTAAGTGTCCTCCTTCCTGCACTGTCCCTGGTAACTCTACCTGCCTACTGCCACCCTCCATGCTCGTTTCTTCAGGCCTATCCGCGACTCGGCCCCCTCCCGGAAAGAGACACGCGTGTGCCAAGCCCTCCCCTTGCCCCTCGCCCATGTGTCGCCCGCAATCCACGCTCGCGTTCCTAGGGAACGCGGCGCGTCCGCGCCCGAACCCCGGGGCTTGCCCAATTTCAACGGTTCCGCCTCGCCAACCCCGCGGATCCGCGCCGTTCCGCTCCGCCGTCAACCCGTCCGCCGAACCCCACGCGTGCTGTGTGGGGTCCGCGGGAGCAAGCGGGGTGCGCGGAGTGACCAGGCGCCGCGCTTGCGAAGCGATGATACCGGGAGTGGCGCAGGCGCCGTCGTCTGTCTGATCCTCCTCCGCACTCCAGACGTGCGAGGAGAGAGGAATGTGAGTTAAAGACGCTGGTATCTTTGACTTGTGTGTGTAGTCCGCATTCCACGGATCTCTCTGATTGAAGCTGCTACTAATTTCCCTACATTCACCTCCCGTTTCTTCCTTTACGCCGTCGACGCTGGACGAGTCACCCCTGTCCCCCTTTCCTCCTTCCTTAATCTCCCGCATCTCCCGCAAGTTCCCCAGAGATAGCGACGCGCGTCGCCCGTTCGCCGGGCCCAGCTTTCCGCGCAACCAGCCCCGCTCACTGACGTTTTCCGCCGGCGCGGCGGAGATTTGTCGGTCCTTGCCCCCGCCGATGCGGATGCCTCGCCAGTTCCTCCCCGCGCCCACGAGATCGCGCAACCAGCCCTTGTCGTCCCCCGCAGCTGCTACTGGCACCGGCGCGGCGCCTACCTCTTCCTCTTCCTCCTCCGCCACCGCCGACCACGGCGCGCGATGCGGCCTCTCAAGCCCCGACTCGCCGGACGGGCTGCCCACAGAGAACGACGCGCGTCGACGGCGAATGCGGTCCCACACGCCTCCGCCGCCGCTGCCGCCCCTGCCGGCGCCGCGCGTGGACGACTTGTCGTCTGCCGGCGCCGCCGCCGAAGAACCGTCGCGCCGATCGCACATGCTCTGACTGCGGGGAACGTACGGGCGGAGGAGGTGCGGCAATGCGGGGGCGTCCAGCTCGGGGAGGTTATCGAGCGATAGCGACATGCGACGAATCCCCGAGCTCGACGAACGACGGCCGCCGGCGCTCGCGCCGTTGCTCCCCCCCTCCTTGCCCCCGCCCTCTCCGCCAGCGGCGGCCGCCATGCTGTTCCGCCTGCCAAGCCCGCCGCGCTTTCTCCGCGGATCCAGTCGGCCCCACGGATCTGACACCGCTGCTGCGCTGTGCGCGCTGCTGTTACTGCTGCAGCTGCTGCTGCTGTTCGCCCTGCTGCCGCCACTCCCGCTGCCTCCGCTTCCGCCAGCGCCGCCTGTGCTGCTCAGACTGCTGGCGCAACTCATGCTGCGGCGCACGGGGACGGGTTGCTGACGAATCTTGCCCGCGTCATCGTGGCCTACGTCTATCGTGCATTCCGCTCGCTCCGGGCTACTACCCGCCGCATTCCACGCTACGCAAGAACCGGAAGCGCTTGGTTTGAGGTAATATATGCTGCCAGGGCGCAAGTGCTTGGCGGAGTCAAGCACCTGATCGTCCGCGGAATTGACGCAGTGCCACGGCGGATGCTCCGCCAGCACGTCCGCCACCGTCTTGCCGGGACCGTACATGCTGACGCTGCCGTCGGGGAGAACGACGACGGCGAGACGTCGCTGCTGGTTAAACAGCAGCCGGCCGACGGCTTGGATCGGCAGCCATGGCTTCCGCTCTACGTCCATCGCTTGCAATGGTTCCGTGCAAGAGAGCTCGTGACGGTGAGACGTCACTAAGTGTTGGTGTGTGGGACGCTAACAATGGGTCCGCGAACTAGCGCCGCAACGAACGAGGATGGCGCTGAACGGCCAGCTCAACGAGGATGGATCGCACGAAAACCATGGGAGCCGTACATTGCACCAGCGCGCGCGGCGGAAAGGGCGTGGAGCTCGTCGAGGTAGTGAGGATTGATCGCGTAGGGATTCCACGTCTCAACTTGAGGTGATATGGTCAGCAGGAGTGAAGCCCAGCTTGGTTGCTGGGGAGGAATCTGGTGGATGTGTCAGCCCAAACAGTCATGGATGGTGTTCGTTCGAACTTCGAAGCAGCAATGTACCACTGCATTCCCCATGCACCGAAGAGATGCCTCCATCAACCTCATCCCTCTGCCCTACAAATTACAGTACCATCCGCCCCGCCACCTTTCCTTTCTGCCATTACAGGAGGATATTGAACCAAGAGACTCATTTGCCTCAGAGGTTTACCTCGCCTAGATTCCTTCGCGTTTGGGTACAAAGTTAAAGACTGCCTCGAGCCTGTCAATTGGCCGGCGAATTCGTGCTGTGGTGGGTTCAGATCTTCATGCGTGGGCGTACGGCCGAGAATCACCTGTTGAACTAGCCAAGTCCATGGGCTGGGCCTGTGCCTCCTCCCAAATCCTTCCGTGCTGATCGTTCTGGTGTTCTGAAGTTTAGGGTGTACTACACTACGGAAAAAAGGTAAAATGCTTGTGCAGGATGGTGATGTCGCAACGTGTTCTTCCTTATGGAAAGGCGTATTTACAAAAGGTTCGTGTGTGTACCCTTCCGGGCCAGTATCTCACCAGGGAGGTTTCGCAAGAGCCGAAGTTGGCTCAGAAGACACGAGGAGCTCGGAAGTCCTGACCAGAAGTGTGACAAGGGCGGAGAATGGGGCTTACTAGATCCTTTCAAGGCCGCGATGCCTGTACCAAAGTTGGAAACGTGTGTAGCAGATCTTTGTCGGCGCGGGTACTGTGTACCCATAAAATTTAGGAGATAACTGCGCCCGAAACTACAAGTTTCAGGGGATAGTGATCAAAGGCTAAATGGAAGTTCGAGTACCCTTGTTCGGAGTTCTAATGTACGAGTCCAATGTGAGCAGGGACACTAGGTGAGGATACCAACTCTCACGCATCCCAGGGCACACCTGGGGCCGTGTCAACAGACTTCAGCTCAGTTGCCGAGCCTTCCACTTCCGAGTTTCCGTTCCGAGCTCCACTTAAGATCACCTACATTTTCCCATCGCACAGCCAACTTCGGGCGTAACTTTGCAAGGAACCTGACTTTCCAGCCTGCCCAAAACCAACCTGGGGCCTACTCAGGGGAGTCAGGGGGTTGCGGATGCACCGAAGTGAAGTGAGGAATGCTACGTGGCTACGCGATTCGAAGGTGGAACTGTCTTCATCTTTGCGATTAGGCACGTGTGAACATTCTCACCCAGTAGTCGACGACAGTCGATTTTGGGCAAAGAGCTGGGTAGATTGTCGTCGGAAGGACACAAAACATCGTCAGCCAGTTAAATGCGGCATGAAGGCTGGCCGAGCCGCAGTGTACTGACAATAGTGTAGCCCGTCATAACCACAGAAATCCATTGAGTGACGTCACCAACTACCCCAGCAGATGAGGGTGGATGGCAGATATGTGGTGGCAATGAAGGTACGGATGTACATATCCGAAAACTTACAAACCTCGGCGGTGGGTGAGGTTGTCAATGTCATGTCATGCTGTAACTGGCTTGAACATTGGATTTTTGCATCACTCGCGCACTGTATCCACAAATACCTGAGGGCAACACTGAACTGTACATGCCTCTCCTTAGGGCGTGTGTCCTTTTATCTCCCGACGGTTCGACCCGTGGACCGTCCGATTTGCGAACATGTTACCTGTTTCGCCAGTTGTCGTGAATGTTTCGTGAAGGTATTGGCGACGTCGCCAACGGTTCGACCTGTCGCGTCACTCTCCCTTCAGGCAACGGTTCACACTCTGAACTTCTGGCAGTTCGAATTGCAAACGGACGGATGCACATTTATGACACTGGATTGGCGCGCGAACTACTCGAAAAACAAAAACCGAACCGCATGTTCAATTTATTTGTGGCCCGCGACGCGCGCCTGAACATTGAACGATCGCAACATCCCCTAGCCCACCAACACTACAAATGCCCCAGCAATCCGAACTGAACCCTCACAACAATCGAGTTGTGTGGTGTGCTGGGTGGTTGTGAATGTTTGAAATCGAGCCGCCATGGGGTGAGCGAAACTGGCGAGAGTGTGTGACTGGGGTTACGATGATACAGTAGCTCTAGCGAGGCCACAGTACTTCGGTAGTTTCTGAAGTAGAGAAAAGTGACGTTTTTGCCTTCAGACAGTCTGAAGTTTCGATTTTCCGAAATGGACTGTCCGGTACCCGCTATTGGGACTGTCCGTTTCGATACAAGTGGACTGTCCGGGAAAATACAAAAAAAAAGGAACACGCCCTTACCTTCTCTTTAGGGCACCCGGCAAAATCCAAGTTCGCGCTCTTATCCCCGATATTCGAATCCGGCGATTCAAGAATTTTCTAGGCACGCTCATGCTCGACGTGGCTCTCTTAAAATAAAAACCACCACATAGTTAGCATATAAAATGCTCCATCATACTGTATCAGGAGCTTGGAGCTCTCACTTCCCTCAACACTAAGTACCATATCGTTTGTCCGTATTATTACACAAGCTTACGAAGTATTGTACATGGGAGATGTCTTTAACCAATAAGGCCGTCCTAAGGTAGAAACCACATACGGTCGAAACCTAAGCAGAAGGAAGCGGAGCATAGCCACCACGCATATGCTGCTGTAGCCAGTGGATGCTGCTCTGCATCCAGGCGGGCCTGTTTGCCTCTGGCGTGATGAGCACAAAGAGCAGCGTCATAGCTAGAGAGATGAGCACAATGAGGATGATCACAGCCCACCACCAAAAAGTGGCATGGGAGGGAACTGCATGTGGAAGGGGTGACGGCAGCGAGAGCAGAGGGAGACATACTGTTAAGGCAGACATGTTAAGGCAGACATGCTTGGAAGTTGGAAGAAAGTGATGCATCCAACTCTTAAGTAAGAAATATGGTACCCACTATAACTTCAAGACTCCTGGCACCAAGACATGCCCCTCGTAAGAGGAGGGAATCCACAAGCATAACGCATGGGGGGTGGATGGCACGTACCCAGCAGCACATGCACATGGTAAGTGGTGGGCGAGTAGCCATGACCCTCCACCACGACTTCAGCATCCGCACGCGCCACAGCAGCACCCTCCTTGATGTCGTGCCACTCTAGCTGCGGGCTGGCTGTGTTGTTCGCCACTACATACCCATTCACACGCACTTGCAGCACCTTGCACTGCTCCTCCTGAATCGCACACAGTGCAGGGTGGGAAAGCAAGAGTCAAGATACAGAAAAAGGTAATGGAGGCAACACAGACCATTCGTAGCAGCGCTCAGCGCCCACTTGAGAGAACGGTGGTGGTAAAGTAGGAAGGGGTTAGGGAAGCGGTGCCAATGACAGACGTACCCCGCACAGTACGGGCGTTAGAGTCACACTCCGTGAAGGTACAGTCACGTTGTAGGTCGTCACGTCACGAGAGAATCGAGGCGCCAGCAGCTCCCGCGGCGTTCCCTCCACTCCCACGATCAGATCGTTCAGACGGGCAGGGGCAGGCGGCGGAGAGGGGGGGGGAGAAGGGGGTGGAGAGGGGGGTGGAGGAGAGGGGGGGGGAGGAGAGGGCGGAGGAGAGGGGGGGCGGAGAGGGGGGTGGAGAAGAGGGGGGGGGGAGGAGAGGGCGGAGGAGAGGGGGGCGGAGAGGGGGGCGGAGGAGGTGACGGGGGCGGAGGTGAAGGGGGGCTTGGTGGGGGGGATGGAGGACGCGGGGATGGCGGTGGCGGCGGGGAGGAGGGGGGAGAGGGAGAAGGGGGCGGTGGAGGGTTTGGGGGACTGGGAGGCGATGGTGGCGGCGGAGATGGCGGTGGGGGAGACGGCGGAGGAGACGGAGGCGAAGAAGGAGGCGGAGACGGTGGGGGAGACGGCGGAGGCGGCGGCGACGGTGGGGGAGGGGGAGACGGCAACGGCGGAGGGGGAGGTGGCGACGGAGGAGGGGGGATGGGCGGAGGAGGTGGTGATGGCGAAGGTGGTGGGGGGGGCGGCGGCGAGGATGGCACGGGATACGGGGTTGGAGCAGGCGCATCTGCCTCAACGAGTTCATCGCTCCAAGGCGCCGAGGGCCTTACCTCCGAGGGCTGCCCTCGTAAGAGCGCGAGCTCCGATGTCCATCCGCTGCTCGCAGATCCGCCGCTCCCTCGCGCACTGGGGCGGATTAGCTCCTCCACCGACCCTTGAAACGTACTGGCATCTGCACGAAAGGCCGCAGAATCAGAGAAACATGCGGCAGGGGAGGAATAGACGAGGAGGAGGGAGAAGACGAGCAGCCGCGCGAGACACGAAAGACGCTCTGATGGAAAAGCCATGCCTGGACTCTCAAATCCAGATCCGCTCTACAAGGCGCAGTTGTGGGCAAATGAATGTAAAATACGGCACCAGCGCGAACAGAACGAAATCAAGAGAAGAAACGGAGAGCGATGCACTGTAGGCTCCACAGAATCATGAATGGACACGGAAAAGCGCTTCGTCAAGAACCAATCGGTGCGCAGCTGCATGGTGGATTCAGCACGTGGGATATCAGCATAATGGTTCATAATCGCACAATGGTCCCCGATACACAGATTTATATGATCAGTACACTTCGACTATTTTAAACCGTGTACGTGCACAAAAATGGAGTCATATTTTGAAAAAAAAAAACAGTGGGTCGCAGATGGTGACCCATTTTCGAGTTTCCGAACCCAGCCTCCCCCGCGCTGATTTTCGTGCCATTGGCCGGTGTTAATGCGGATATTGGGGAAAGTGCTGTGGAGGTGAACTCACTGTGGGCGCAAGACGTGACTCCGCTAGGAAGAAATTTGCGCACGGAAATGTGGGCTCCGCGCTCCGATCCCAGACACATTGAATGCGACACGCACAATTTCTTCTGAGATTCAAGTTTATACTTCTTTCACTGCTGTGGCAACGATACGAAAGGTAGTAACAACTATTTTCTATGCAAACAGGCGCTATGCGGTGAAAAGGTAGGAGAGATAGCCAGTGAACTCGGAATTGTTTTTCGTTTCTGAAACCCAAACTGACCGCTTTGAACACAGAAATTTTGGGTAGACATATAGTCGCGCCGCTAATGTGTGCAACCAGGAGAGTTTTGCTCAATTCCGCGGAATCGCGGTTCGTTTTATTTTCGCCACGTGGCATGCCTTCGATCGTGGGAACCGCGATCTGATTTATTGTTCCCACAATTTTTAAAAGAAAATATAGTTAGGCTTAGTGAGTCACATGTACTGCCCTGCCCGCGGACAAAAATAAAACCCCTAAAGGAAAAACATGCGTTAGGGATGCATCAACCCTAAACACATAGACGCAAGGTGTTTAGGGTTGATGCCTCTCTAACGCATGCCATGCCCGAATGGGTTTTATTTTTGCCCGCGGGCAGCGCGGTACATAACTTAACTAAGTTTCTCTTGAACTTTGTGGGAACAATAAAACAGATCGCGGTTCGCGCGATCGAAGGCTTGCCACGTGGCGAAAATAAAACGAACCGCGCTTCCGCGGAATTGAGCAAAATTCTCTGCAACCAGCTATTGTTCGAACCACAAGGGCTGAGAAGGTGCCACCACGAAGACTTCAAATCGAAGTACAGAAGCAGAAGTGCGTTGTTGAATGTTCTGCTTCTAAGTGTGTCTCTAGAGTTACGTTTACGCTGTGAAAGCACGTCCACATCAGCTACCAAGTTCAGTTTCACAAAAGCATTTGGTGCTTTTATCAGACTGTGCATCCAACAGGAAATTCCCAAGGTCAGCGAATGTAACTTGAGATGGCAGCAGAATGGCTCTGGCTGGAACCATCGTGGCAGCCGTTCAACGATGGCAGTAGCGGATGGAGCAGTAGCGGACGAAGTGGCAGAAGCAGCAGCGGGAAGAGCGCGAAGGACTGCCGCTGCTTGCCGTCTGACCACACCTACTCGAACAATGAACCCAAGGAGGTGCGCTCGCGCCTTTCCCTCGCAAGCAACAAATTTCCAATCACCTCAGTCGCTAACTAGCGTAATGAGCCCGCAGCACCTTTCGCGGCGCGATTACGGTCAGCACGATCGCGTTGCAAGCATCTCAGCGTTTACGCCACTCCCTCCCACCCCTCCTCCTCGCTTCGCGCCACACCTGGCAGGTGACGGTCGTCAAAACAAGGTTCGGTCCCATTCACGTGACAATCGTTGGGGATAGGAGCAAGCTGCCGCTTATCACGTATCACGACATTGGCATGAACCGTAAGTCGGTCATTTCGAAAACAAGAGGCGGAAGAGGGGTGGGGAGGGGAAGAAAGGGGCGAACGTGGGCGGCAATGGGGAAGGGGTATTAGGGCTCACAGTAATAAGCAGGCAGTGCTGCTTTCCACAATTCTGTCCGCGCTACGTGTCTCCCTTGCGCATTCGCCCCTTCCGCCTTGCGCGCAGACGGGTTGTGCTTCGGTCCGCTGATGCGCTGCCCCGATACGGCGCCCATGCTCCGCCACCACTTCTGCTTCTTCCACATCGATGCACCGGGGCACCAGGTGCGTGGGTCGCGCCTCTGAGCTCTGATGCTCGTGAGGGGAAACAGGCGGGGGTAGCGGAGCGAAGAGTTCATTCTTCCTTTGGTATCCTTGTCAATGCACTACTACTGTGCATAGAGGCTGTTGACTCCGTGACGAAATTCCTTCCGACGCTTATCACCTTTTCGTTCTTCCCCCGGCTTCCCGCGCAGGACGGCGCACGGCATCTGCGAGGATCCGCGTCTCACGGCACAGCGCAGGACATGGCGGATCAAGTTGCAGACGTCATTAACGCGCTCGGGTGCGCCATTGCTACCGCGCGCGCATGCCAAGCTTTCCCCGCGTCGCTGCGACTCGCGTGTGGCGGTCCAGAGCGAGGAGTAGCGAAAGCGAGTCACCGCGGTCCGCTGTCGCAGCGCCGTGGCGTACGCGGGGGGCCGTGCTGCTGCAAGCGCGCCAGCTTACGCTGTTTGTATTGCTGCGGCGCCATTCGTTGCACCGCCTGTTGTGGCTTGCCTTGCCCCTCCCACCCTATACACCCGACAAATCCTAGCGTTCCCGTCCCTTCCCTTTCATTCCCGTCCCGTCCCTTCTCTTCCCGTCCCTTCCCTTCCCTTCCCTTCCCTTCCCTTCCCTTCCCTTCCCTTCCCTTCCCTTCCATTACCTTCCTTTCACTTCCTCTGCCTTCCCTTGCCCGGCCTTGCGCCCATCCCCCACTCGTCGTGAGCAGGTTGATGGACGTGACGTGCATGGGCGTGACAGCGGGCGCGTACATCCTCACGCTGCTCGCAGTACGCTCGCCTCGCCTCACCTCCCATCGCACCCCCCCTCTTTTGCTGCTCGCTTCCTTCCCCCCTTCCGCCTTCCACGCCTGCGTGTGCTCCTCGTGCAACCTCACCCCCCGCGCCACCCGCTATTGATGTGCCTCCCACCCACCCCCCCCCTCTCTTCCCCCGACTCTTCCCCTCATCTCCCCGTCTCCCCGTCTCCCCGTGAACCCCTCCCTCTCCCACGCGCCAGCTGCGCCATCCGTGTCTCGTGCGCTCGCTCATCCTCATCTCGCCTCTCTGCCGCCCCCCATCCTGGGCCGAGTGGGGCGCGTCCAAGGTATGCCGCCCACAATCTGCCGCCCCTGCGCTGCGAAGTCACGTGCTTGCATCGAACGGTCCTCGTCTCACACACGCTCATCGTCCCACACGCTGTATTTGACAAAACCGTTCCAGGTTAACCACTTCCTCCGCCCTCTTCGGACTCCCACCCCGCGCGCAACCCGTGCGCTGCAGGTGCTGGTGTCGTCGCTGTCCCTCGTCGGCGCTGCTTCCGCCATTGCCTCCGCGGCCCTCATGCAGCGATACGTCCCCCTCGCCGTACGTCCCCCCAGCTGCGCGTCGCCTTTTTTCCTTTTCTCGCGCGTGATCGCTGCACGCAGTGCGTCGTTGGGTTGCTCAGATATTATCCGGCCCGCACAGCGTGCACGCGTCCGCGCTGCCATCCTACGCGGTGCGGGATGTACCACAACCTCCGTCCCTCCTGTCACTAAGTCCCCTCTCTTTGTCCTTTTCCTTCCTCTCCTGCCTATCCCCCCTCCCCTCCCTCCCCTCCCTCCCTCCCTCCCTCGCTCCTCCCATGCGTGGCAACCGTCTCCGCTCATCCCCACCAGCAGCGCGCCAAGCCCAATCAACGGCCGTCCATCCCACAGCTCTCAGCCATTCAAGAGGTACGCCTTGCCATGCCATGCACTGCATGCCAGTGCTGTCGCTGCCCTGCATTACTCACGCCCGCACACGCAATTTCTCGTGATTCCGTGCACCTCGGTGTGCGCGCAGCCCTCGGAGTGTAGTTGGTCTCAACACCCATGCCCTCTCTCTCGCCTCTTGTACCCACTCCGTGCTGTTTCGCGACTGCTTGGATGTGTGCCATGTGCATGTGTGCCTGCCATGGCCACATGGGCACCAACAGGGCATGAGGGGCATGGCAGCAGACGGCATGGTGCAGTACATCCGAATCATGGACCAGTGAGTGCCAACATGCCATGTATACAATATCCTGCTCCATGCGCGCGCACGCGCACGCACACACTCTCTGCTCCCGTAACACGCGCCATGCGTGGGCTTCCTTGCACTCATCCCTCTCACATCCGTACGTCACATCCACATCACACTCCCTCACTCCCACCTACTCTTCCTTTCAATGTCCCTCCTCTCCCAAACGGCTTCGCCCACCAGCCATTCTTTCCTCACGAAAAGAAACCTCTTCCCTCCTCCCCTTCTCTTCCCCCCCCCTCCCGCCCCTTCCCCCCTCGGGTTTGATGCTATGCGCTAGGCGCAAGGACCTGACGGGGCAGCTGGCGGGGATGCGGTGTCCGTGCCTGGTGGTGGTGGGCGAGATGTCGCCCTTCCGTGATGACGCCCTGCACCTGCATGCCCACCTGCCCCGCCGCCTCGCTGCCTGGTTCCAGGTACCTGCTCCCTTCGCCATGCCATGTTGTGTCCATGCATGACCGTGCAGTGCGTCCATCCACGCCAGTCAACTCCCTCCATCCCACAATAAACCTCCTGCAACCTCTCCACCCATCGTTCCTCCCTTCATCATCCCGTCTCATGCCTTCCTCCTCTCCGGCCCCACTCCCCTCCCTTCACGCAACCCCCACGCACGGCAGGTGCCAGCGAGCGGGACAGTGGCAACAAGGGACTGCCCGCACCGACTGCTAGACCCGCTCCACAAGTTCCTCTCCTCCTGCGGCTACTGCCTCTCCTGCCCCTCCTGCTCCCCCCCTCCCCTTTGCCCCTCCGCCTGCCCACCACCCCCTGACACCACTGCACCCACGCTCCTCCACGCCTCCTCCTCAATCTCCTCCCCTTGCTCCTCCGTCTCCTCCCTCTCGTCCTCCTCCTCGTCCTCCTGCTGCTGCGCCTGCCTCTGCTCTCTCTCCTCGTCGCCCCGCACACCCCTCCCCCCGACGTTTCGGCCAGAAGACCTGTCGCTAGCAGCGCATGGCAACAAGTTAAAGCCCATCCGAACGCGGTGGGAAGGCAGAGGGGGGGTGAGCAGCATGGTTGCGGGAGGTGCGGTGCTGCAAGTGTGCAAGGGAGGAGGAGGGTGCCAGGGAGTAGGGAGGCCGCAACTGGCGTGGTGCTGATGGGTGCAAGGAGGAAGAAGGATAGGAGGCAGTTGAGTTTTGAGTAGACTTAACGGTTTTGCTGGGAAAAGGAGGGGAGTGGTCTGTTGTGAGAGCTGAGAGGCTGGGGAATAAGCAGCAGTGTTGACGCTGCAGGCAAGAGCAGCATGCACAGCAGTCCCACTCCCACGCCCTCACACACGCGCACGTGCGCACACACACACTCGCGCGCGCACACGCACACAAGGTGCTATTCTTCCAGAAGCTGGTGCTATTCTCTCCTGAAGCCTTAACACGCATATATATGCATGCTCGAAGGCGAGCACACGCGATACCATTTATTGACAATAGCTAGGAAAGTGTGTTGCCATAAAATTGCCTAACATTGCTCTCTTCCTGATGCTAATCATGTAAGTGTAGTCGGCTTTCATAGCAGGCAAATTGCAATGCAGTCCCGGGCTTGCAAATAGCACACTGGCTAACAAGCTGATACCATACTACCACAGTGCCCTCTACGCCGTGAGAATGTGACCTGGAACAGGCTCAAGCAAGTGAGCCCCCCCCCCCCCCCCCCCCCCACAATCAATTTGTGCTGGTACTACCATGAGGCAAAGGGTTGATAGGCCACATTCGATTGCACGCCCCACCTTCGTTCTTAGACTTGTCCGGTATTGAATCACAAGACGGCACTGTTGGCATTTCCCGATAACAGCTTAAGAATCAGCTTTATCACAAGGCCCAGGGAATGCAGAGAGACGGCTTCAGAGGCACGTGGCATGCACTAGCGCAGCCTGGTGAGTGCGGTGGCAGCAGCAGTGCGCCTGACAGCCTGGGCGTCAAGCAGTGAGCACGTGGTCCCCGGTACCAGTGCACTCGCTGCTGCCACCGCCACCACCCGCCCCTCCACCTCCACTGCTGCTCGCACCACCTCCACCCTCCCCGCTGCTGCTGCTGCTGCTGCTGCTGCTGCTGTTGCCTGCTCTCCCTGCTCGCCTTTCTCCTTGCTCCTGGGATCCTGTGCCTGCCCCTTCTCTCCTGATTCTGCTGCTGCTGCCATTGATACCGATGGTTCTGCTGATACTGCTGATACTGCTGATGGCGGTGATGGCTGTGATGGTGAGTGACAGGAGTGGGGTACAAATGGCGGTGCCAATGGCGATAGTGCTGCTGATGATGTGGGTGGTGCTGTTCCGCCTGACAGTGGGACAAGTCCTGTTGATTGCAATCGTGGTGCAAACTCTGGTGCTGATGGTGATAGCGATGATGACCGTGCCAATGTGGATTGAGACAACTGTGTTGCACACGCTGCTGCTGCTGCTGGTGCGACAGATGATGGTGGGGACACAGATGGTGCAGCAGTCGACGCCAAACCATGGTCGAGCATGTGCATGTGAGCTGGCAGGCTTGTTGGGGGGACGTGATGCGTTGTCATCTTGATCTGGTGGGTGGAACAGCAGGGGCCATGGCATGACAAGGAGAATAGGCGAGCGTGGTGATGCGATGAAAGCAAGGACGCACACTGACAGCAATAACTTCTGGCTCGGAATCATTCCAAGAAGAAGAAAAGATCAATCAAGCATCACCATGCCACAAGGCAGCACACACGCATGCCCCTTCCCCGCCCCCCCTACTTTCCCCACACACACACTCTTGTGCACCCGCCCATCCCCGTCTTCACTAATTATTCCGTCTCTTCCCCCTTTTCCCTGCCAATCCACCTCCTCCCCTCCCACCTACCAGTTGCTGCTCTCCCATTCCCCCCCCAGCGCGCACCTGCAGAGACCACTTGTTGCGCGTGCTCAGGTGCTGCAGCTCTGTCATGGGGTGCGGCGGACAGGGGCACGGGGGGAACAGGGGGAGCAGGTGCGGGGCGAACACCTGCACCAGGCGCACACAGGGGGGGACCGGGAGAGGGGTTGGGGAACGAAGGAGGAATATAAGTATGGGGTACACAGGGCGATATTATCCCTCTCTCTTGCTCCCTCCCCTCCTCTGTGCCTTGGAATGAAAATGGGTAGATGCTATGGCAGGCATGGTTCACACCCATGCATCCATGTGCGCATGCACCCATGCGCCCACGCAGCAGCGCACCTGCCAGACGGCAGCAGGGTGCGAGTGGGCGTCCAGGAACACAGCGCCTGCCAGCGCCTGCACCGTCTCCGACAGCGCACGAGGGGCGCTCACCACCCACTGCACCTCCCCAACCTCCCCCCCCTCCGCTCCTTCTGCTCCCTCCTCTCCCTTCCCTCCCTCCCCTCCTCCATCTGCCCCTCCTACCTCACCTCCCTGCACCCCTCCTCGCCCTGCCCCGCCTCCTCCTCCCCTCTCTGCTCCTCTCTGCCCTGCGCCTCCTGCTGCGTGAGGGGCAGGGGCAGTGAGGGACGCGTCAAAGGCAGCGATGTGGTGGGCGGGAAGAGGGGAGACGGTGCGCATGTGGCGGTGCAGACCCCATGTGATGGCCAGCGCTGCCAGGGACTCGTGCGATAGCACATGCTGTCGTGGTGTTGTGCCGTGCCAGTTTCACATGCGGAAGATCATGAGGGGACAATGGCAAGGCGTGAGACGGCGTGAGAGAAGGAGATCGACAGAAGAGAGAGATTGGGCAGGTAGGCTGCGAGAACAACAGGAGAGAGAGCCATGACTCATGCCATCCCATTCCATCCCACCCCATCCCACCCCATCCCACCCCATCCCACCCCATCCCACCCCATCCCACCCCACTGCATCACCTGTTTCAAGGCGCTGACATGGTGAAGCCTGTTCCCGGCGTGCTGCCCCCCCCCCACATCCGCGCCCATGGCCACGAGGGCGTGGAGCATGAGGCAGTACTCCAGCACGGCGTTGCCCACACAGTACATGCGCTCAAACGTCCACGCACTCCCCCCCAACCCCAACCCCTCCTCATAAAGTCCCTCCTCACTGCCGCCACTCCACGCACCATCCCCATCTCTTTTTCCCTCCTCCTCTCGGCCTCCCTCCGAGTTCCCCACCTCCGCACCCTTCTCTGTCTCCGCACCCCTCTCTGTCCCCGCACCCCTCTCTTTCTCCGCCTGCTGCTCCCCTTGCCGCTCCCACCGCTTGCGGCGCTGCCACGTGTACCGAGACTGCTGCCACACGTGCTGCTGCCACACGTGCTGCTGCTGCTGCTGCTGCTGCTGCAGAAGGGAGGGGTGAGTGAGCGCCACGAGCAGCAGATCCTTCTTTGCAAACTCATGCCCCAGCGCCCTCTCAGCGCCCCTCAACCACGCCCCCTCCCCTTCCCGCCATTCGCCCTCGCTCTCCATTTCCGGGACTTCGAGAAACGACTGGTGAGTGTGTGGATGCGAGCACACACACCCACACACCGCCCTCCCCCCCTCCCTGCTAACTGCACCCTGACCGCCCTCCCTCACCCCCTCTACTCCCACCTCCCCCCCATCTCCACCTTCAACTCGCTTCTCCTCAAGTTGCTTGTCGCTTCTACCCAACCCCACAGGCATGAGCCCATGGGTGCATGCACAGGGCACGGCACATGCACCATGACACGGCACAACGCCCATCCCACAGAGCACGTGCGCGGCTGCTGCCTCGCACCCACCACCTGCCAGCACTGCCCCTACCACGGACTCCACACTGTCTGCACACACTCCCTCACTCACTCGCACTGACGCACTCGCTGCCCACCACTCCCCTCCTCCCCCACCACCCCCCATCGCCTGTGCCCCACCCAACAGCACTCCCTCACCGTCCCTGTCCGTCTCACTCTCCACACAGTGCTGCTCAGAAGCACTTCCCCCCGGCACCACTCCCACCGTCGCCACATCATTCCAGCCTCTTCCCCCCTTGGCAGTGCACATGCACCCCTGTCTGCTCTCCCTGCTCTCACTTTCCCCATTGCCCTCACTGCTGCTAGCTTTAACCACACCAAACCCCTCCCCATTCCACTGTCCCCGCACACACGCCAGCAGCGGCCCCTCATGCTCGCAGCAGCAACCATGCCCGCGCGCCCGAGAGAGCTCGGCCTCACATGCCACGCTGTCAGCCAATGCTGGCACGCCACCTGTCGCTGCCCGCGTGTGGGATTGCCCCGCCCCACGAACGCCACTTGCCAGGTCAGCACACTCTCCTCTGCTGTCCTCGCCCACACCACCCTCTCCCCCTTCTCCCCCTTCTCCCCCTTCTCCCCCTTCTCCCCCTTCTCCCCCTTCTCCCCCTTCTTCCCCCTCTCTCGGCTCTTTCCTCCCCTCGTTCTCTCCCCACCCTCTCCCCCACTGCTCGCAGCACCATCTTGCCCCTCCCCCTCCGTCTTCCCCTCCCCCCACCTTTCCCCCTCCCCCTGTCCCCTGCGGCAGGGGCAGGGGAAGAAGAGAGGGGGAGAAGGGGAGGAGGCGGAGGAAGGGGGGAAGGCCGCAGGCACGGGCGCATGCAGCAAGGCAGCGGTTGGGGACCAGTTGCTGCTCGGGGGGGGGGAAGGGGGAGAGAGGGCGGGGGAGAGGGGAAAGGGCAAACAGGGGCTGGGAGAGGGGAATGGATGAAAGGGGGACTAGTAAGGGCAGGGAGAAGGATGGAATGGAAGAAAGAGAAGAGAAGTACGGGCGAGTCACCCAAGGAAGAAAGTGGGGGGAGGAGAGTATATCAAGGGGCAACAAGATGAGGTTGATGGAGGCATGATGTAAGTGGTATCGAGCAACGTTCATGTGCCCACCTACCGCACACACCCGTCCTGCCCACCTGCATCATGTTGCCTGCGGCGTCGATGCCAGCAGTGGGGTGCAGCAGCAGCACACAGAGCGCTGCCGCGAGCTTGAGAAACGCGTCTCCCAGCAGCTCCAGCAGTGGCCGCGCGATGGGCATGCATGAGCGGGAGAGAGCGGTGGGAGCAGGGGTGGAGGGAGAGGCTGGGAGATGGGCGGAGGGAGGGGTGGAGAGAGTGGTGGAGGGAGGAGCAGGGAGGAGGAGGAGGGAAGTGGGGGTGGTGGCTGATTGTGAGCCGGTGTGTTGGGGTATGAGCAGTGGCGAGGGAGGGGGTGGAGGAGCCCAGGGGGGGTTGATTGTGCGGACATCACCGATGCATGCAGATGGGGCTGTGATGGCCTGCATGCATGCCAGCACGGTGCAATGCCGTGAGCAGGAGCGCAGGAGAGGTGGAGGGCGGGAGAGAAGAAGGGGAAAGGGTGGGAGGGCGGGAGAATAGTAGGGCAGTTGAAGGTGAGCACGTGTGGGCATGTTGCGGTGGGACCAGTGACACGCGTGCATACGCCCAGTACCCTGTGTCAATATGACTGGCCTCTCATCACTCGACAGCCAAACCTTGCATTTAAATACACTCTTAGAGGCATTCCCCATTCTATTGCTGAAGAGCTACATCCTGCACTAACAGTCCCTTTTTGCCCCCTAACCCTCCGCACAATGGCTTCCGTTCACTCTCATTAACTCATTTTCCCCCGTCCCGAACGCACCGTGCGCAGCAGAGGCAGGTGCAGCGAGGGCAGGTGCAGCGAGCAGACGAGCTCCCAGGCGCACAGCAGGTCCGCGAGGTGGCAGAGAGTGAGCGGCAGCACTGCTTCTGCCCGCACCCACGCTGCACTCACGGGCAAGCTGCTGCTGCTGCTGCTGCTGCTGCTGCTGCTGCTGCTGCTGCTGCTGCTGCTGCTGCTGCTGCTGCTGCTGCTGCTGCTGCTGCTGCTACCACTGGCCACGGCGGAAGGTGGACGGGCAGGCGCGGGAGCAGCGTTGTTGCATGTGCTAGTGGTAGTGGTGGCAGTGGTGGCAGTGGTGGGGTGGTGCTTGGGTGAGAGGAGCAGCGAGCAGAGCTCGGGAGGGACTACGATGCGGCGACAGAGGGACGGTGGGGTGGAGGAGGATGGGGCGGGTGGTGATGCCATGAGACGAGTGATGGTACATGCCTGATGGGAGGGCAGCAGGGGGACGGAGGGGAGAGAGCAGTGGAGAATAAGAGGTGGAGTGGAGGGGAGGGAAGGACAAGAGCAAAGCATGTGAACACAACATGGAATGCGTGGCACATTACAATGGTATGCGTGCCCGAAGCACAATCCCTGACAGCAGCGTGCTCCCTTCCTTCTGCCCATTCGCACCCCTCACACCCCTTGCGCCCCTGGCAGCACTTGCCTTGGGCATGGGCACGAGTTCCAGCAGGGGTTGGTGCGGGCGCTGCAGCAGCACGCCGTGCAGCACACAGTAGTCCCCGTCATACCACGTGCTCTGCCCCTTCCTCACGCCCCTCCTGCCCTGCCACACCCCTCTTGCTGCCTCGCCCTTCACATCCTCCTGCTGCTGCTGCTGCTGCTGCTGCTGCTGCTGCAGAGGCGACTTCTCGAGCTCCCCGCCTCCCTCAACACGCTTGTAATCACCGGTTGAAGCTGGTGCTGTGTGGTGCAATGGGGTGGCGGGCTCAGGGTGGGCCCTGAGAGCTTGCACCAGGAAGAGGGAGGGAGGGAGCGGGTGCGAGTGTGGGAGGGCGAGGGCGACAGCACCGTGCATCACCTGCCGTGCACTGAAGCACCCATTCGCCAACATCACTTCCCCCTGCTCCTCGCCCTCTCCTCTTCCCTCCCGTCCTCCTCGCTCCGCACCTCCACTTCTCTCCCCCCGTCGTCTCTCCTCCCTTCCTGTCTCCTCCGCCCCATATAAGACCCCCTTCACCTCCTCCCCTGCCCTGCCCATCAAACATCTTTCACTGTACTCTGCCTCAAACAAGCACACCCCCCTTTCGCTCACACAGCCGGGCAGCTGAACGGGCAACTGAGAGGAATGGTTGAGAGGCAGCACTAGGAATCCGGGCAGCCATTTCATCCCATGCTGCTCTGCGCGCCCCTCCTCCTTCCCCTGCGGCCAGCCACACGACTCACCGCTCCCTTGGTCCCCCCCAGATTGCTTCTCAGAGCACCTACAATCCCCTCTTGCCTCGTACGCTCCACCTTTCGCCTCATTGCCCCCTTCCTCCCTCCTGCTCTTCCCTCCCCTTTCGCTCCCTCCATTCCCCTCTTCACCCCCCCCGCTCGTGCCCCCGTCCCCATCTCCGCCACCGGCGCTGGGGACAGCGCGCGGAGGGGCGGGGGGGTGGAGGGAGTGCGCGTGAAATCGGAGGGCGCGCGAGATGCACGCGCAGCAAAGGGCGACAGCGCCAGCGGGGAGCAGGCGCGGGGAGAGGTACAGGCTCCGCGTGTGGGGGAGAGGGATGGCGGCGGGCAGCGGTGATGTCAGCATGGAGGGCGGGAGGGGATGCGCGGAGAGGAAGAGGCAGGAGGCGATGAGCGGAGGGGATTGCGCGGAGGCAGGTGTTGGGAAGAAGCAAGCGCATGCCTCATCCTCCTTCTGACGCTCCGCGGAGGTTTCCGCGACCTTTCCGCCGTTCCTGTCCGCCCACTCCCACGATACCGCGTGCGCATGGTACGAGTGCCGGCATGGCATACAGGGCGGGGGCGGTTGCGCCTGGGGGAGGGTCGTCCCAGCGAAGCGGAGGCAAGGCCGCAAGGACTCTTGGGCCGAGCGCGCATGTGAGGAGCTGCCATGTTCCGTGCGACGCGGGGACAGGGCGTGCGGCCATCGCTGCGGCGTGAATCGCTCCAACGGAGGTGGACGTCGGGATGTGCGACCCATGACGGCGAGTGATGCATCAGCAGGTGCAGATGTTTGTGGCAGAATTTATCAAGATTGACTCAATTGGTACTGACGCGTGATATTGTACGCGTAGCATTGAGACAGCCGTAATAGGTACACTCAAAGTTATCCCACTTAATGTGAACACTGCTGGTTGAACAGAGCATGTCCTCACAAAGGAACACCCAGGGGTGCTGTGCTACCATCCAGTAGCATTGAAGCACGTATTATTACCATATGACACAAGGATGTTCATGCAAATCAATGAAGCTATGTACTTCCTACTAAGATAGGACAATCTGGGAAAACTAAATTCCTGGAATAAGAGCATGTTCCTACGGCCTCTTATCAGGCCAACCTCTTATCAAGCTCGCGTCAAAACACACTGAAAATTCCCTTACCCTAAAACCCTCGCTACTTTTACCAGGCAAGGCTGACAAGAGGTTTGCCTGATAGAGCGTAGGAACATGCCCTAAGTCGGCAAGAACTGATATGGCCTGCCTTGGCATCAAAACAAGCTTGCTAGTTGTTCAGTATGGTAGTGGGTCTGATTACAATCAACCTTATCCGAAGGGTGGCAAACTGCATATGTTTGCACCCCAAGTTAGGTGAAAATCCTAGAGCGAACTAAGAATCCGAAGGGAGCAGGTATCCACAGAACCGACTATAGTTGTCATGTACCCCAGTAGTACCATTACTCATAGCATGGAATAGCCAACCCGACTCATCATCACACCTCCACTCCACGTGCACTCACGGGCGGTGAAGAGTGAGAGCGAGAGCACGGTGTGGCATGTGTCGCATGTGCTGAACCTGCCACACTCACCCCACCTGCACCTGTCGCTGACAACTGTGCAGGAGTGCTGGGAGGAGCTGCACCCTGGGACTCAGGCACGTGGGCTGTGGATGATGTTGGATGATGCTGTTGAATCATGTCACGTGCTTGAGCAGTGGGCAGTGCAGCAACAGTGTCAAGGTCCGGATCCATGTATGCGGCTACCCGGCGATGGAAGGAATCAACCTGCCGGGGGAAGCAGGTGTGAGTACATGCGTCGCATGAGGCAGTGAGAAGGCAATGTACAGGCATGCGACTTGAAGAGAGGGACTGTGAGGGAGTGGAGCACGTCACCTGTGAGTTGAGAGCATTGAAGAGCTCGACCACATGCACCAGCCTCTGCCTGTGCAGCTCCTGACACCGCTCATCCTCTCCCCGCACTTGCTCCAGCTGCACACACCACAACACCACAGCCACGCCAGTTGGTGACGGCAGCACGGAGAGATAGACGTACAGCATGCAGGGCCGATACAGAACAGACATCAGACGCACGAGGATGCAGCATGCGTGGAAGGTTGTGCCATGGCACGCGGAGTGACAGGCATAGGGCAGGATGAGGTGAGAGCATGAGACGCACCTGGCCCTGCACCTCTGCCTTGGCAGCGAGGAAGAGCTCTTCCTCCTCTGCCAGCCCCTGCTCCAGCACACGCACGTCCTCCTGCTTCCTCCGCACCTCCACCATCTGCTGCTCTATAGCTGCCCTGCGCGCTGCCACCTTCGCCTTCCACTCCGCCTCTGCTCACAGAGCGCACGACAGTACACAGAAACCACACTCAAGCAGTGACAGATGGAGCGACAGCACAGCAGTTGCCATGGTGAACAGCAGCAGCGCAGACAGCAGCCACAGGGTGGAACCATAAATACTCCCAGGAGCTGAGAACCACCACACCCACATGTAACGCCAAGCCAAACCCACACCATGCATGCCAGAAACCAGCACGGCCTCTCACCCTTCACACCCTCCCCTCACCTTTGGCCTTCTCCTTGCTGACCCTCTCCTCCGCTGCTGCCTGCAGCTGCCGCGCTGCTGCTCCTTGCGCCTGCCGTGCAGCCACCTGCCGCTTCAACTCGCGCGCTGCTGCTGCCTGCACGACAAAATTCACGAGTGCACGCGGCGACAGGAGGTGAGATGGGCCAGGTGCAGAATCAGGTTGCAATGAGGCGCACGGCAGAACATGGTATGGCAGTTCATGGCGTGCATCAGAACGGGAACGAGCACGAAAGATCATGGATTTGGTGGGAGGTGGGTGAAGCGCTGACCTCTTGATCCGCTTGCTTGACTTGCTGCAGCCGGCTCTGAAGCTCCGCCAGGGCCTGCACGAGTATACACGGCAAGGAACGGGCGAGTGTGTGTGCGTGTGTGTGTGTGTGTGGGGGGGTGGGCGGGTGGGTGGGTGCATGTGTGTGTGTGTGTGTGAGTGTGTGTGTGTGTGTGTGTGCGTGTGTGTGTGTGGACGCGTGCGCGCGCACGTGCGAGTGAGAGAGAGACCAAGAGAGAGAACGAAAGGGTGAGAGAGGAGGGGAAATGAGAAGAGAGAGAGAGCAGGGGAGGGGAGAAGGTGCAGCAAGATGGAGCATAATGAAGAGAACAGGAAGGCAGGCATGGGCATGGGCATGGGCATGGGCATGGGCATGGGCATGGGCATGGGCATGGGCATGGGCATGGGCATGGGCATGGGCATGGGCATGGGCATGGGCATGGGCATGGGCATGGGCATGGGCATGGGCATGGGCATGGGCATGGGGATGGGCATGGGCATGGGCATGGGCATGGGCATGGGCATGGGCATGGGCATGGGCATGGGGATGGGCATGGGGATGGGGATGGGCATGGGCATGGGCATGGGCATGGGCATGGGCATGGGCATGGGCATGGGCATGGGCATGGGCATGGGCATGGGGATGGGCATGGGGATGGGCATGGGCATGGGCATGGGCATGGGCATGGGCATGGGCATGGGCATGGGCATGGGCATGGGCATGGGCATGGGCATGGGCATGGGCATGGGCATGGGCATGGGCATGGGCATGGGCATGGGCATGGGCATGGGCATGGGCATGGGGATGGGCATGGGCATGGGGATGGGCATGGGGATGGGCATGGGCATGGGGATGGGCATGGGCATGGGCATGGGCATGGGCATGGGGATGGGCATGGGCATGGGCATGGGCATGGGCATGGGGATGGGCATGGGCATGGGCATGGGCATGGGCATGGGCATGGGCATGGGCATGGGCATGGGCATGGGCATGGGCATGGGCATGGGCATGGGCATGGGCATGGGCATGGGCATGGGCATGGGCATGGGCATGGGCATGGGCATGGGCATGGGCATGGGCATGGGGATGGGCATGGGCATGGGGATGGGCATGGGGATGGGCATGGGGATGGGGATGGGCATGGGGATGGGCATGGGGATGGGCATGGGGATGGGCATGGGCATGGGCATGGGCATGGGCATGGGCATGGGCATGGGCATGGGCATGGGCATGGGCATGGGCATGGGCATGGGCATGGGCATGGGCATGGGCATGGGCATGGGCATGGGCATGGGCATGGGCATGGGCATGGGCATGGGCATGGGCATGGGCATGGGGATGGGCATGGGCATGGGGATGGGCATGGGGATGGGCATGGGCATGGGGATGGGCATGGGCATGGGCATGGGCATGGGCATGGGGATGGGCATGGGCATGGGCATGGGCATGGGCATGGGCATGGGCATGGGCATGGGCATGGGCATGGGCATGGGCATGGGCATGGGCATGGGCATGGGCATGGGCATGGGCATGGGCATGGGCATGGGCATGGGCATGGGCATGGGCATGGGCATGGGCATGGGCATGGGCATGGGCATGGGGATGGGCATGGGCATGGGGATGGGCATGGGATGGGCATGGGCATGGGCATGGGCATGGGCATGGGCATGGGCATGGGCATGGGGATGGGCATGGGCATGGGCATGGGCATGGGCATGGGGATGGGCATGGGCATGGGCATGGGCATGGGCATGGGCATGGGGATGGGCATGGGCATGGGCATGGACGAGCGAGAGGATGTCCTAAGTGTGCTCACCTTTCTGACGACAACCAGCTTCTTGCGGTTCTCCCGCATCTGCACCAGCACCGCATCCCTTGCCTCCTTCTCACTCTCCATCGCTTCCTCTGCTCGAGTCACTGCTAACTGCACATACACACGTACACACGTGCGTGCACACGCAACCAGGCATAAGCGGGCAGAGCGACAACTGAAAGCTCACAAATAGGCTGACGTGGACGTGTGCAGGAAAGCGCAGCACGTGAGCAGGAGGGCACAGTACATAACCAGAAGCACTCACTCTGACTTTATCCGGCGACTCCACTATCTGTGCACGCAAACTCATCTCCTCCTCCTTGACCTTCGCCGCCTGCTGCTTCTCCGCCGCTATCTGCACACACACAACGCCACATCGCACCGCAGCTCATTCAAACCACAGCATGCGCCACAGCCATCACAAGTGAGCGCCCGCTTAGCAGCCCCTCCCAGAAGCACGATTTGGAGGAAAGGAGTTTCACAGAGCAACAGGGCTGTACAGCTCACAACGGTCAAAGCTAACCCAACACAAAACCCTGCTTGCCTCATCTATGAGTTTCGCCATGGCCTCCCTCCGCCCCGCCAGCTGCTCTTCCTCCGCGGCCTCTTCCCCCTGTACCCGCTGCAGTTCCTTCTCCATCACCGCCACCTCCTCCGCCACCTCCGCCACCTCCGCGTCCTCGTCGCGCTGCCGCTCCTCCAGAGATTGCAACTCGCTAGACAGCTGCGGGGCGAGAAGGGAGGCCGCAGGCAGCACGCCATGGCGCGATGGTGAGCAGAGGGAACGGGGTACACGGAGCACAGGGCACGGGACCACGCGAAAAAGCGCTGGAGAAGGATGGGTACGCGGGCGTGGTGTGGCGTGGGTTGAGGTGCTGGACAGCCAAGGAAACGCAATGCTGCAGTGTACACGTATCCAAGAGAAGGAAGAGGGACGCGTAGCGCCATACCGATAGTTCTTCGTCTTCGAGCTTGGCGTGCGTCTCAACGACCTGCGCGTACTCCTCCAGGCATTGCGCCTCCACGGAAAAGAACTGGTCCCTGCAACGATAGCCACGTAACCACCACACGCATGCTTATTGCGGACCCAGAGACACTGAATTTCGACCGTCTGATGACGCCAGCGCTCAAACAGACATGCTTATACCGTCGCCGGATGCACCTACTATGAAGCTACGCATGATGGTGAAAAGATGGCGAGGCTTTCGGTACGGCAGTACGCATGGGGTGTCAGATAACGTGCATGCGAACGCACCCGAAGCGCTTGTAGTTGGCGAGCGCGGAGAGCAGCTTCTGGGTGCGCTCGGGATCCGGCCGAATTAGGTCGCGCATCGCGAACCACTCGACACCCGTCCCCGCGAAGAGTTCCCGGAGCGACTGGAAGAGAAGGAGAGTACTGGCGGCATCTACGTGCAACTCGGGGAAGTCCAGGTTCCGCTCCGCTTCCTCCTCATTCATGCACGCGCCGTCGCTGGGGAGGACGGCTCTAAAAGGGGGACATGGAGCAGATGTGGGGCGGGAAAGAGGGGAGGCGCCGGGCCAATGAGGATGAGGCGAAAGACATGGGAAAAACGGATGAAGGGCGTCGGTGAACTTGCTAAATGAATCTTACTTGATGGGCGGCTAACTCTTAATTGCTATCACCTACCGGCCCACTAATACGCGAATTGCCGCGTCGTAGAAGAGGCGCATGACTTCTGGCGTGGGCTTGGCGATGTCACGCTCCGTCAGCTTGTAGATCGGATCCAGACATTGCTGTAGCTGCTTCGCATCCAGCATAGGCGACGAAAACTGTACCATGGCTGCGTGATTGTAAGAAACCAGGAAAGTTTTTTGAGTGATTTACTGGTTCGTATAATCCTGTTCAAGCGTCGATTAACTTCTGGCTAAACGACCTTGGTGACAAGCGGTGTGCAAGTATAACAAGCGATGTCGCGTCCAAGTAACAAACCTAACATCCACAAGCTACGCAACGAGTGAGTGGAGCCGCTAGGGTTCTCGAATTCTCAAAAAGTCGACAGCACTTGCCTGGAGTTCTCGAGGTGCTCGGAGTTGTCAAAAGGAGATCTGGGTGGTACTGGTTTGTGTGGTCCCACGCACAGCAGTTGCGAGTAGCTTCACACACACGCTTGACGGCCTTCGCCCAGCCAAGTTTGGTGATGGCAAGGGTGGCAGGCTTTGGGCGGGAACTTTCAAAGTTGGCGCCAGATTTGTATTTGATTTCTGACCAGTCGCGAGTTGCTGGAGCCTCTGACAAGTGAAAAAGCGAGGACAGTAACGAACGAGGATAGCGGATGATACACGCTTCTCAAACTATGAGAAAAACATTAAATTCTCCCTACATCTCCCTTACTGAATTTCGAGTCACAATGTAGTATGAATGGGGTCAGGAACAGCAGATATGACTAGCACACGTTAATAAGACATTTATGGATCATAATAAATGCTTTTTTTTTTGCGTAATCGCAATCAGACATTGCATACATGGCCAGATAGGGTAAGTAGTTCTTCAACAGAGCAGACAAAGCAGCGTATTATTCGGTTATATATTCAAGCCAAACTGGTTTTCAGCGTTGCCATATCTTGCCGCATCTGCTCCTCCATCGTGGCTGCTTGCTCCTGCAGCATCGTCACCAAAAAAAAAAAAAAAAGTGAACCATTTGCCACTAAGAAAAGCAAGCATGGTGGTAAGGCAATGGGGACATCAGGATGGCAGAAAATTGACAGGTAGTCACGCCTCATCTAACGACGTGAGACAATGGAGGAAAAATGTACCTCGAGACGGCAAAGCCGCCACTCCATCTGCTGTTGCAGCATGTCACGCACGGTGGATCCGTGATGCGGAGAAGGGCGTAAGTGCACGCGGACGATCGTAAACGGGCCGAACCGAATCTCATCTCCATCAGACAGAGGACGCTCGCGACCTGCAGCAGGTATAGCGTGGAACAAGAAAGAAAACCGACGTGTCGCGTGGCAAAAAAAAAAAAAAAAACTAGCAGGTTTAAGGCCAAGTGCTAGCACCTTCTTGCAGATGAACGCCGTTGAGTGACGTTCCGTTCGAGCTTCCTAGATCGACGACGCGCCAACTCCTATCAGCTGTGTCCCACGACACACAGGCGTGTTTCTCAGAAACCTGCAAGGGAGAAACAAGTTCCCGAACAGGAACTAAATTATAAAGGTTCGCTTGGACCATAAGCTGCTCAGGCGGTTGGTAGGCACAGGCAATGCTTACGGCATCTTCCTTCAGCGGAATCTGGCAGGTCTTCACTCGTCCCACTCTAGAACTGCTAGCAGTTACAGCAATGGTGGACGGGCAGCAAGGGCCTCCCACCACTTCCAGCACCAAGAGGTCACGACCACCATCACTCGCTAGCTCTGGTTGGCAAGCATCCGCGGTTGAACCTCGCTTCGCCTGCGCAGCCCTGCCTCTGCCTCCTGCCATGCTAACTTCGCAAGAATATAAGAAACTACTCGACACGGTATGGCTTCAGTAAATTCCACACGAAGGAGTTGTTTGGAAGTGCATGAGATGAGAGCTGCGGATGAAAATGTTTACGGGCCGTGGTTCTGTAAGTGAGGAGCTGATGGGTCTTGGGAATGACACTTCGGTTGGAGGGAAGCATGGCGAAGCGAGAAAAGCTTGAAGCGGAGATGGTTTGCGATAAGTTCAAAGGTGTACAACGGGTGCACTAGATCGCGACACCTATACGAAAAAAACATTAACAAAAAAATTGTCAAGTAAGCAAGCACAATACATTTGAATAACAAAGCGTCTATATAATGTTAGTTTGCATTGGTTATGCGACCTTTATTTTTTCCTTTCTTTTGGGAACAGGCTTGGTTCTAGAATCATGTGGGTGTACATTACATCCACCCACATATCTGGTATGCCTGGCAAGCACCAATGCGTGCAGTCCCCAGAAAAGGGCGACTCTCCTTGCCCCTGGGGTGAGTTTGGCCCAGACTGGTCTCGACTGTGCCACCATACCCCTAGGTGTGCGTCCGGCCGCAAGGCACTTATGCTAGTGACGTCGAGGAAGCGAATAGGAGATCCCAGGAACACACTCTTTTGTGCAGCCGCATATTCTTCTGCTGTGCTCAAGGAATCAGAGTACCTTGAGTGCACAAAGGTGCTCGAGGCAGGCATGCGAGCACCACAAGAACCCACCCATGCGGCTCCATCACTTTGCTCAACCCCAGGTTGTGTTTGACCAGCTCCTGCATGCTTTGGGGAGAAGGAGAGGAAGAAGGGGACTCCCGAGTAGTCTATTTTCTTGACGAAGGAGAGAACCGTGGACAGGGCCCATGTGTGAGCGGCGATGTTACTCAGGTTTCGCCGTGCCCCGTTTACGAAAAAGTTATTCGGAACTGTGCGGCGAGGGACGTTCTGCAGCCACCACACCCCCGAGTGGAAGACGACAGCGGAGTAGTTGGCCAGCACGTGCTCCAGCACAGGGTCCATCTCATCCACGTACACATCAAACCCGTGCCCGCCCTTGCCGGCGTCTTTGCCCGTGGCTTTGTTGCGGATGGAGCGGCGACTGGTGCGCACAATGTAGGGCGTGAAGTAGTACTCGAGGGAGAAGGAGAAAGCTGGAAAATGGACTCCCTTGATGCTCCAATCGCCTTTCGTTTTGCGCCTAAAAGGCTGCGAAGCAATGCCGGCCATTGGAGGGAAGGAAGCAGATGAAAAAGGAAGTCAAGGAGATTGTGAAGGTACTGCAAATCACGAGCGAAACCTTATAAGTTACAGAAATCGCAGGAATTATACACTCCATCCACGCATCCACCACCGTGTGTCAACATCGACCGCCAGTCATGCATGCAAGAGCAAGCAACCTCCAGGCTGGGCGACACTGATATCAAGCAGCACACTCCGAGGCATGGCGCCGTACCTGTCCCTCGTACCCCACGCTGCTGATGGAGCAGAGCAGCGCCTCGAAGAGGTTCGACATCATCGAGTCGCCCACCAGTAGCATCCGCTGCCGCGAGGACGGGGCGGGGGGGAGCAAGGGGGAAAATGACCGTGGGGTCAACATGGTGCGAGTTTGACAAGGGGCAATACCGAATGAGCTCCAAAAAATGTTGGTAACATGCGGCGATTCGCTGCTGCTGAAGCCGCACGGGATGCTATAGGCGAAGAGCACATACAGCTTAGATATTGACACCATTCTTTTCGTTCCAAATCCACGCGGACGCGAAACGGGTAGCGGATAGAGCCCATGCGGTAATGATCCCAGGGGAGTCGAGCCCGCGGCGGCAGGGCGGTCCAGCTTACCCGATCGCGCATGAGAAAGCGGAAGCCGGACGAGGAGAAGTAGCTGATGGGGCAATCGAACGGCTGCCACCGGTACTCGCGGTACCGCAGGTCGGGCCGGTTGTTGCGTTCGCACGCGTACGACGACCGCGCGAACGGACACGATTTCGGGCGGCCGGCGACAGTGGTGTAGCGTGGGAAACGCTTAGGGGAGCGTATCCACGCCCCGTTTGACAGGTCGCAGAGGTCTGCGGCACGGAGGCACGGGAAGGGGGATGACGATGGAACGGGTTAGCTGGCGCGTGGGCGACGAGAAAGCGACTGTACGGGGCAGGTGAGCGAGGGACGTCCGAGCTGGAGTGCCCTGAGATAAACACAACTCGCCTCTCGCCCCTTGACATGTCCATCTGAGGCCGAGGCACACAGGTGAGGGGTCTTCTTCCGTCTATCGCCCTGCTAGGTGAACATCTGAACCCGTTCACTGCGCTGCTGCGCCAGTCGCTAACACAGCTTTCCGGGTGATCCATGCTGGGCACACGTCGTCGCGTCGAGCCTCGACAAGGTAAGCTGGTGCGAGGCTCGGAGTGCTCACCTCGCTTGGGCTTCGGGGCAAGCGACGTGACGGCGGGAACGAGCAGACATAGCAGCAGAACGACGGAGCATGTCGGGAGTGACGTTGAATAGGTTACAAAAGAGATGCGGTATGGGGTACGTAGTCGCGACCGGTACGAGGTGGCCATGAGAAAAAAAAAAAAAAAAACATAAATTAGTGGCCTGAAGAATGGCCCTAAGACGGTGCTGTTGGTGGAGGAATTGGAAGGCTGTGAGGTGATGGGGGGAAACTCAACAGAATGCATAAGTATGCACTGTTGGTTGCTCTTTGCTCTACTTCTTGATGTCGTAACAAGTGACTTCCGAATAAGTTTGGTCCTCGCTGAGCCAATGGCGTTGGAGGTAACGCATTGTGATTGGACAATCACGGTCGTAAAAAGCCGCAAAACTTCGTTTGTTACAAGGCAGGTTGTTCGGCACAGCCAGGAATGCCAAGACGGTAGATCAGCACACCCGTGCTCCAGGAAAGGACAGGCGGCAGCAGCACCAGCCAGTCAGCCAGGGAAGGGAAACGAGGCGACACGTGTGTCGCACTTCCGATTCGCACTGGGGTGACACGAGACAAATGTGTTTGCGCGGGATGATGATGAGGTGAGATGCAAGGAGGTGAGGTGAGTTGAGTTGAGGGGAGGGGAGTTGATGGAATTGACGGACAGCGCAATGCTCTTCCCGAGTCGCGATGCACTCCATCAAAACGGACGTGCCTCGCTGCGCGCAGTCAACAATGAAGTGGTTGCCTTGAATTGACAGCATTAGACGCAATAATTTCACCACAAAAACAGAAGCGCGCACTTCCACAAACAAAATACATAGAGCGCCTTATGTCAAATACACAATGGAAAGAGGCCTAGAAAAGGATTCGACTAGGCAGTGTCCAGTTTTCCTAACCAGTATATGAAAGCAAGCCTAACCGTTTTGCCATGACCTGATACTGCCCACCTGGCCAGCGCTACGCTGCAGTTCTCAAGATTTAATATATACACTGTTGAGATAATATCGAGACTTAAGCACTTCAAGGAAATTCGTGTAGTACAGTAAAGTACCGAAAGGCTGACGTCAGCAAAGCGCCACGCGCCATAGGATGACGTCAGCACGTAGCTATAGACCTCGCGAATAGTGACGCACCGTTTCAGTACAGGAATAGCACAGTACAGTTGGCGAACAGGTACTTTACTCTAGCTATATATTTGTATGCTTGTCATTTTATAATATATCTGATTTCAGAGACATCGATCCTGAAACATATCACTACATGGACTTTTATTAAGTTCACACAAAGCTTTCATAACAGGCTTTAATATAAGACTTCCGCTACGACAAGAAGCTACCATCCTAAGTATTACGATCCTATTCAATCACTTCAAATTCTAACATGGTATTGCGAGCGTCTTAGGATACTACAAGCTTCCAAATACATACTCTACAACTATGTCTGGATCTCCACGGTCCAACAACGGCTCTTCGGTTACGAGTCCATCACGCCCAACAGCGTCTCCAGCTGCTGATAATTCACATCTGCAGCAACAACAACAACAACAATATCAGCAACAACCGATGTACGGCATGCCACTGAGCAGTCAGCCTGTACACACAACTGCAGAAGCGTCATCATCGACAGCAGCCGCAGCAACAGCAGCCACAACAGCTGCAACTGCAGTCACTGGTTCTTCTAGTCAACCAGGACAACAGTCCAGTTTCGTACCAACTGGACCTTATCAATATCAAGGTGCTTACCAGCCAACGAATTTTCAACAGCGTGTCAATGCTGCCGTCTTGTCACTTAACCAAATGTTTCCAACTCCTATGAGCCTTGATGGTTCCAGCTATCAGCATGGACAGATGCCACAGGGAAGCGATGGGTCGAATAACTATTTTTTCTTTCGTTCCTGCTGGACAAGGACAACAAGCACCACAAGGGTCACAGATGCCATCACTTTATCAGCTGCAATCAGCTGACGGTACCGGAAACTATCTTCTCGCTTCTGCAAACCCAACAAAAATTAAAACGACTGTGCCTTTTAACGGTCAAGATTTCTATACCTGGAGTTTTGAATTTGAGCTTCTTGTTCAGACCGCGGGGTTCTGGCAGTTGTTCGACGGCACAGCACCCTTTCCATCTCACGGGTCACCGCTTCAACAGGCCACTTTTCGATCGGCGTCGCTGACTGCATACACAGTTCTCGTTCGCAATCTGACACCGACTGAACAGCTTGGCATTCGTCCTTTTCGTACCAGTGCCGCTCCTGCTGAAGCAGCTTGGTTATACCTGCAAGGGGTTCACATGGCAAAGGACACTGTCAACCAGAGTAAAATTTTGACGCAGCTGTCAAATATACAGATGATAAACGGCGAGAAGGTGACGCAGTATATCAACCGCGCTCGAAATTTGCGTGATCAACTTCAGAAGTGTGGAGGGTACTTCCCCGACGCTATGTTCCACACGGTGCTACTCGCGGGTCTCGGACCAGAATGGCGACAGTGTCGCTCTATTCTTCGGATGCAAGCACAGTTGTCCGAGGGGGCACTCTGTGCCGCTCTCATCGCCGAGCAGCAGGATATGGACCTGCACAACGCTCGAGGAGGGAAAAAGATGGTAAACAATACAGTCAGTTTTTATTATAATCCACGTCACAAGCCCGTTTGCTCTTTTTGTCGAAAAGCAGGACACACTATTGATACCTGCTGGTCAAAAGATAAACCATCTTGGAAGCGGACTACATCGAAACATTCCAAAGATTCTTCAGGTGAAGCTGAGAAGCAGGAAGCTGAGAAGCAGGAAGCTGTGAAGCAGAATACTGCGAAGCCGAACTCTGCGAAGCCGCCTACTACACCTGTCAAGACACAAGCGAAAGAAGTTATTAATTGTATGACGTCAGTTTCTACAGTCTACGATCCTGACGCTGAGGAACGTATTCACAATAACTTCAATGATGAACTCAACACGCCCATACCACCCGAGGTCTACGCCAACCTTGCACATACCTTGGAAGGACCCAACACTTGGTATCTTGACAGTTGTTGCGGGCAGCATATGTGTTCATCAGAAAATCGCTTCGTCATCAATCAGCGTCGTCTTCAGAATCCGTGCGTTGTAACCGTCGCCAACAATCAACGTCTTACAGCACACTGGATGGGTAACATCATTCTTGATTCTGTTGAAGAAGACTTCAGTCTTCATCTTAACGATGTACTCCTCGTTCCTCGACTTGGATTTAATCTGATGTCATCAGCACAGCTCATGAGGAATGGCATTACTCTTCTTGGTGAACCGGGCAAGTTTACTTTAAAGTATGGAGACAGGAAACTCGGCACGGCGATTGAACAGAACGGTGTATTTGTTCTCAACTTCGTACCTGAACGCACCACTGCCGACTCCGAGAATATTCTCTCTCTTGGCCCGTGGGAACATCGTGACGACATCGATTACACCGATGGTACCGTTCATCGTGATGGAGTTGTACCCACATATTCAACCACGGCTGCAGCTGTCATGCTGACCTTCGACAACCAAGGCTTAAACGACGTCCAGAACTCCCGAGATTATCTTGCTCACGTTGCTGGTTGGGGAGATACGACGAATATGCCCACGGGTGAAGGCACTTGGGGGGCACAGGAACCTGACGAGACTACTTGGGGAAAAACACCTGCTGATCATGATCGACGTCTTCTCACTGAAGCAGAGCAGCGTGTCGCTGACATGGAAGTCCTCGACTCCGGACGACTTGTCGGTGTTGAGCCTAAACCTGCAGCATCAGATCAAGAGAGCGGGGAATTAGTTCTTTCACCAGGCGAATCCGTCAACGTTGAAATCAAAATTCCGCCGCCTAACCTTACCAGGTTTATTCCGCCTGTCACAGATCATGTTCATGCTGACGGTCATCGGTTGCTGTTGTCTTTCTTCGCTAACGCCGACTATTATCTGCGTGCACAAGGACACAAAGCAACGGCAGATATCTGGCATAAGCGTCTTGGTCATCCGTCGCAGTCTACGCTCAACAACACAATCAAAGCAGCTGTTCTCGACAAGAATTCTCTTCTCTTACCTGGCGGCCTCGAAATGAAACCGGTTAATCGTCCATCACCCTGCTTGATCTGCCCAGCAGCAAATCTACCGCACGAACCGTACCCGACTCATTTTCCTGGCGCTGAGGATTATCGATTGATGGAAAAAGTTTACAGCGATATTCTAAACTTACCTGCGGAAGGTTTTAACGGCGAGAAATATGTTATCACGTTCACCGAAGCTTCTACTCGATACGTCTGGACTGGTAACATGACTAATCGTTTCCTTGCTTTCACAGCGTTTCAGACATGGCTACCTCTCGCAGAACGTGAGTCTGGCACAAAACTCAAAAGCTTCCAGTGTGACGGAGCTGGGGAATATCGCAGCCTCGAGTTTACAGCGTACCTGCAAGAACGAGGCATACGGCGCCTGTTCTCACTTCCTCACGCTCACCAGCAGAGCGGTGTAGCTGAACGCCTCAATCGTACTTTGCAAGAAAAGATGCGAGCACTACTCGCACAGTCTCAACTCGGCCCACTCTACTGGCCCTTCGCGATGGACCACGCCACGCTGTTGCACAACCTCCTGTCTTCATCGGCTTTACCAAACAACGCATCGCCGCACTTGTTCTGGACAGGAAAATTAGGCACTACGAAACTTCTTCGAGTTTTTGGGTGTTTTGTGCAATATCGTCCTCCCACCGCTCCGCTCGGAAAATTTGATCAACGTGCTAAGTGGGGTCTTCATCTCGGCCTTGAGAAGCAGTTTTCTGCCTGGCGTATTCTGGATTATCGCAGTCGACTTTTAATTCCTGCCCGCGACTGTATTTTCTACGAAAATCTGACCCTTTCTGTCTTCGAACAGTACCTCGCCACGCAGCGTGATCCTGCTACACTTTTCTACGGTGTTCGCTCCTTCGCCAGTGCTGACGCCGAACTCGCTGCCAGCGAAGAACCTGACATTGACGATGCACGTGAAGCCGCTGTCAGAGGTCCACTGGTGATCCCCGATTGATCCTAGGGAAGGGTTACAGGCACGTTGGCCTGGGGGGTTATGGGCGCACTGACCCGCTACTTAAACAAGCCCTTTTATCCCAATGGTCTAGTGGTTGGGATTCTGACATGG